GTGTGTGTTCGCGTGTGTGTGTGTTAAAATGATAGTTTGAAGAGAATTATGTCTTCTACGCCTTTTACTGGACTGTGATTTTGACTGATTTCATTCCAACTGAAAGCCTACATGATGTATGTTTTTGGATTGTGAACCGGTTTCCTGACCACTTCAGGATTAAGTGTATGCAGAAATTTTCTGTCTGCTCTGTATTGCCTTGAGATTATGCAGTTCCAAGGTCCACATTCTTCATGGACTAGTATATACTTTACACAACAGTATTTGACCTGATTTTGTATTTGGCACACATAGGCTTGTAACCCCACCTGCCACCACCACCCCCGAAACGAGTTATATGAATGTATGTATCAATGAATATTTCTGTCTGAAGCTAATGAAGAAAGCTACTCTTTTCCAAGCCTTTGGTACTACAGAAGGAGCTAGATTACTGTACTGGTGGTCAGATTGATTCAACTGCAAGGAGTGTTTTGACATTTTAAGGTTCAAAGTTGATTGATATGCTCACTTTTCTGTCCAGAAATGCGGCCTTCATGGGCTGCAGAAAAGATCCTCACTTTTGCTCGTCCCTCTCTGGCTTCAATATGAAAGGTTAACTAAACAATGTTGCGTTTTACTTTTAAAAAAGTGGCAGTCTGAGAGTACTGCATTAGTGCATTTATTGGTCTGATTAAATTCCCCTTGGCTAAGAAGTCAACAAATGTCTGTTTTGGGGGTTTTATTATTATTATTATTTACATTTGTTTATTGTGTTTATTTGGATTGCAGTTTTAATCTATGCTGTTGCACACTTTCCCCACCTTTCACAGTAATAATAATAAAGACTTAATAATTACTTTCACAATCCAGCTTCAGCCCAGACAGTGGTGCTCTGTTTGTTAGCTTTAATTTAGAAATCGTGTCAATAAGCAGACTGCAATCAAGATTTCTCCCTATGACAGTAACCCGAGAGATGCTTCCTTCTCGTTTTCTGAATAAATCAGTCTACGGTTTCAAGAGGGTGATACAGGAGAGAGTATTTAATTGCGTGCACATAAATAATGAATTTCTGTTGAGGTAATAGCGATGCCACTTACAGCACTCTATGCTGAACATTAATTAAGTGACATAAATTCCTCCTAATCCCTGATGAAAAACAGCACGAATGTGTATTCCCTGCGAGTAACAGTGGCCTGTCTCAACTGCTGGCAGCCCAAGTGAGGCTCTTTGTGGGGGGAAAGAAACGCCGCAGCTTTATTTTATTTTTCTTTAAATTGCGGCTCTTATTTTTGTAGTATTTCGTATGTTTCAAGAAAGGTCCTCGTGCCATCGTCAAAATTGGCGCGTGAGATGTGACGCACGGAAATAAGTGTAAGTTCAAGACTCGCGCCGCCAGCAGGGGACTCACTTTAACTAATTATTTCAACAAATGGCACCTGTTCGAGTGAAAGCACTGGCTGGGAGACCGGTTAACGCTAAACTCCTGTTTGGAAACTTTAAGGGAACAAAAAATCCCCTAAAACGCGTCGTGTGTGAGAACACACACCAATAAAGGAATATCGAGCCTGAGGGACCAGGTGCAGATGACGGCTGTTTGTCGGTTTGAGGTAAGTAGCAGTATTTAAAGTGTAGAAACATCTACAATACCCACCTATTAGTCGCGAGCCGTTTGTGTCATCTGTGACCTTAATTGCCAGATTGGCTTCACGGGACAAAATAAGCCGTTTCTTGTTTATCTCAGACGACTCAGGACGCGTGTTTTTCGTGTTATATTTAAAGCTTTTAATGGCCCTACTTGAACCTTAAACCAGGACATATGCAACCAACTCTTCCTCTTTCATTTCTACTGTGAGCGCGTTTCGCTGAAGGCCCGCTGTCTGCGTTGTCTGCACTCTCAGCATCTTGCTGACCACAGCCTAAATGCGCTACGATAGTCCTAAAGATATAAAAGATTCATTTGAAGTTTTGCCTTCCTGATAAGGAAGAGTAGGCATAATGGGATGTAAATTCTACACAGTATTTACTTATGTGAGAGTTATGAGTGAATGAATGAAAGGTTTGTTCTTTATTTCCTCCTGTGGAACTCCATATTGGATGTCCTGTTGAGCCAGTTTGAAAGTCAGCTGGCTTGTTAAGTGAATTAATTATGACCAAGTAAGAGTGATGGGTCTCTTACTTAACAGTGGTCAGCTAAGGAAACGTGGACGTCCTGGATTGCAATGATATCATTTTTCAGGTCTCATAGTAGAAAACAGCCTCCAAGGCTGGGTGAAGTTATGCTCCTGTCATGCTCCACGTAGCAAAAAACTACTTCCTGAATCAAGTGACAGATAATCATTACTGATGAGGTGTCTTTGGGTGTGGGTGTCTTGAGGGAATGCATTGTGCGTCACCTATTTACTGGAATGGGACCTGCAGGGTCAGGCTCACCTGCTGCCACGTGGCTCCTGGAGGATTGTGGCCAGAACAGGTGAATTCAGGTGTTTACAAAGAGGTGTGGTGTGTTTGTTCTCGCTCACCTCTTCCCTGTTCTACCTACCCGCCCTGTGGGACTGTTTCCTAAAGAGACACAGGAGGAGGAGCACGGTTGGCTAGATTACCTACTGCAATGACCGTTGACGCTTGTAGAGGCGCAAGCCGGTTTAAGGGATTGTTGTCATGCTTTTCATTTTTGTATTTACTGTAAAAATAGCTCGGTGACTGTTTAGCAGCTTAAAAAAAAGGTAAGGGTTACAGGCGTGTGGGGGTTGACTGGATTGTATTTCAAAGTTAGGTTTAAGACAAACAAACTCTACATCTTCTACTCTTTTCCTTTTTCTTTTGTTTAACAGCGTTAAGAGAATGCGTTTTTTTATACGCCGGCGGATGTCCCCCCTTAAACTGGTGCTCCTTGGGGGGACTCTCTTCATGGTGATCTTGGTAGTTCTTCAGAGGGATGTTGGCTCTTCAGCTGGGGACCCCTGGTTACAGGATCTGGTGGTAAAGCGGGACAAGGTAATGGGGATGGTCCGAGAAGCTGTCAACAATATTGGCTTCCAGATCGGCGCTCCACAGCCACCACCAGTAAAAGAGCAGCCTACAGAAGACACCAAGTGCCCCAGTGGATTGTACACTCAGACTGAGCTCAAACCTCACTTGGAGAGACCACCACAGGACCCCCAAGCTCCAGGGGCTGATGGGAAAGCGTTTCAAAAAGACAGCATGACCCCAGAGGAGGAGAAGGAGAAGGCGGAGGGAATGACACGGCATTGTTTCAACCAGTTTGCCAGTGACCGTATCTCGCTCAGCCGCAGTCTGGGGGATGACACCAGGCCTCCTGAGTAAGAGCATGTTATCAGATTTATTACGTACACAGCTTGGACAAGTCTCTGTTTTGCCAGCAAGTATGATGATATGTACACAGGCCAGATAATGTGCTGCATCGCAGCTGGGGTCATACTCACAGAGGTGAATTATTTACATCTGTTTGCATAATGTGCTCCCATTTTCCCTGGGAAAAAAACACTTAGTTGAAAGACTCTTACTGTAACCAGTTTTGAATATGGTATGCACAGAATGCAGTATCCTGGTTAGTACAATGCAAGGCAATCTGTTGTAAATAGTTGAATCCGCTCTGTTTGTGTAGCGTAACATTTGTACATCCTGGTAGGCCGGAGATTTATCTGCCCAGTGACTTTTATTGTGAGCTGCTTATTAAAGGTGATGCATATTGAGCTATGTAAAGTATCAGTGAGCAAACCTTGAATATTCTCTGTCACTTTGCAAGACTGCCACCATGAAAGCCTTTCACTCACACACACACCTATTTGTCATTCTCTCTCTGCCTTTTGACGTGGCTCACCACCACAGGTGCGTAGAGAGGAAGTTTCGTCGCTGCCCTCCTCTGCCTACCACCAGTGTTATTATAGTGTTCCACAATGAGGCTTGGTCCACCCTCCTCAGGACGGTGTTCAGCGTCCTGCACACATCTCCTGCTATCCTACTAAAAGAGATCATTTTGGTAGATGATGCCAGTACTGCAGGTAAGGGTTAAAAAACATGTACATGTAATGTCTTAGCATATGTGATGTGGAGGACTCGCTGACAAGAAGCCTCGGTTCAGTGGTGTGTGACAATACAGCACTGTTGGAGTAAAGTTTTATTGCAAGAAAGCAAATAATAAAGTTATTCTTTTTTTTTCCTTTTAAATAATGTAAATAAAATTGTGTCCCAGCCATCATAGGAGGAGGGGAGGCTCCCAGTCTGTTGCAGTGCTAGCTGACAATCAATCATTGACACTCACATTTATACTTGTGGCCAATTTTGGTTACTAATTAACCTAGCAGCATGTCTTTGGATTGTAAGAGGAAGCTTGGGCAGCCTTTGACCATTAGATGATCATTATATTTGAACCCAGAACCTTTTTGCTGTGACATGATGGTGCTAACCACTGCCCCACTTTGCCACCTGTAGAAAGTAATACTTCTTACATGATATAACTGTAATCATGAATAGTTAATTTAATGTGAAAGAAAATCACTGGGATGTGGGTTATTTTTTTTTGTGTATATATATTATAATATTGGAATAGCTGTCAAGCAATAACTGGGATAAATGCTGAAAATCTGTCAAGGCTCAACTTAATAAAACTGACCTTCAGGATTTTTAGGGCAATAATTCAGTTGCTTTATCAGCTTTGATAAGATAAACTAGAGTGTTCACTTGGGATTTTAGCAGCTTGCTCATAAAATGCAAGCAAGTAGTGCTTTACAGATAGGTGAAGAGACTTGCATTTAGAGCAGGCAAACAATGGTCTGCATTGTCATATATGAGAATGACCCTGTGTTTACCAGGGAAATGTCCAGAAGGTTTGCTACAGTGAATATGAGCTGCAGGGTGATAGAAAGCCTGCTGGGAGCACCTCCAACACGGTGAAAGCAGGCAGAACAGTTATGATAAGAGACCTGTTTTTAATATTCTGTTCACTGCTTTCCAAAATGGGAAGTGTTTATACAATCCAGCATGTCAGGTGATATGACTTTGCTTACACTGTTTGCCAAAGCTGACTACTCACTTTTGGAAATGGTAAATGTTGTGCATCAGCATACCTTCACCATTTTTACCTGTTTTTTTTGTTTATGTAAATCTGCTGACATGCCATTTGTTTCATAGAAAGACCCTTTGTTATGGTTTGCTCTCTAGTTCGAATCTAAGCTGTGCAGTCATTGGAATGCCTTTTTATTTGTAGGTCAGGTTTACTACAATGTTGTAGCTAAAAGATTGCAATCGCACTAAAATAATGAGCCCACTGCTACACATGTCATCAAAAACCTCAAGCATCCTGTTGTTCATTAATGGTATTTGGTGGCCTATTAGATGAGCTTAAAATATCTTTTTTTTTTTCTTCCTTTTTTTTGCAGCAGTTTTCACTCATATCATGTTGGCACCCTCAAATGCATTTCCTACTGTATGCGAGGTTCTCATCTGACTAACAGATCGCTTTCATAATGCTCATGGTGCGAAGCTGGAGGATTCAGTTAGACTGAAACTTGTAAGAAATGTGGTGTTCACTGTGGTCAAGAAGGCTTCTGCAGAGGAAATGTAACCTAGTTTTACGAGCAGTGTTTACAGTTCATTGGTATTTCTTTTTTCAGTGCTCTCATGGGTACAAACTTTATGGATGATTGATTTTTTCATGTCATTTCACTAAATGCTCTTAGTTTGAAGTTTAATGTCTGTCACATTAACCGCATTGATTACAAAGTAACTTTTATTGCAGCAAAGTTGCAACTTGCCTCAGGACAACTTTTGTTTTACGTAAAGGAAGCACTGACATGATTATGTTGCTTCCCTGCAGAGCATTTGAAGAGCAGGCTGGAGGAGTATATACGTCAGCTGAAGATTGTCCGTGTGGTGAGGCAGCCAGAGAGAAAGGGCCTCATCACAGCAAGGCTTCTTGGTGCCAGTATTGCGCAAGCTGAAGTTCTCACCTTCCTTGATGCACACTGTGAGAAAACGCACATGCAAACAATACACAAGTCAAAGTTTCCATTTTAATCATCCCAGGTGATTTACTGAAGCATTTCAGAGTTGGAGGGTTAAATGTATGTGCTTTTTCAGCTTCTAATACTGTAAATAATCTAATACTCCAGTACTCTAATACGAGTGTTTACTACAGCAGTAAACGTATACATATACACACATACCCACACAATTTTCACTTGTCCATATTTTGTAATACGTGATTATTTCATCTTACGTGTACTACTAAATAAAAGTGTTGGTTTTATGCGCTGCTTATGAATATATTAAAACCACATCGTTTAAGGGCAGGACCCCAGAAAAGGAGTGGTTTTAATGAAGCAGTGTTGAAACGGATGTAGTCAAAACCTGCACCTCTTCTTTTAGTGACTGCTGCATTTGACACACGTAATCAATTCAGCTTGTTGAAGTTATCTCTTTTGTTTTACGCTCTTTTTATTTAGTAACTGTTAAACTCTTTCTGCCTAACCGAATCACCGTCGGATACAGTTCAGCGTTTTCATACAAGATCCTTAATTACTTTGGTCTGTGCATTTACAGTGTTTTGCATCAACATTTAAATATTTTCACACAGAAGAAAGAAAAATTCAGCTAAATATAATGCCAGCAAACATCTGTCATTACTGTGTATATGAGGTCAAACTCATTTTACATGGAGGGTCAAAAGGAACCCACTTTGATCTTGAGTGGAACAGACAAACGAAACTCCACTTTGTGTCAGTGTAAAGTTTAACCACACATTTAATCCTATCTTATAATAAGATAAAGAAGTGCAATTTCAACAGCAAATCTTGTTTTTTCTTCATGATAAATGTGTAAAATTACAGAATTATTTTTTTTTAAATTTCTTTAAAAAAATTATTTACTATTCACTTACTTTGCTGTTGCATGAATGGCTCTTTATCAGCAGCAAAGCTGTAAAACTCACAAAAATACAGTTAAAAGTCACAAAAATCTATGGCCTCCTTCATATTTTCCAAAACTGTTCAGTTGTCCTGATTGGAGTCTTTGGCTGGCCGATTCTGGCCCCTGTGCCTTATGTTTGACGTTCCTGGTCTATATGTTACACTGAATGTGGTATTATTTTTGTAGTTGATATTAAGAAATATGAAGCCATCACTGTCCTGTTTTCCCCGTTTAGGCGAGTGTTTCCATGGTTGGCTAGAGCCCTTACTGGCTCGAATTGTTGAGGAACCCACTGCTGTGGTTAGTCCAGAAATCAGCAGCATTGACCTCAACAGCTTCCAGTTCCATAAGCCTGTGGCCACCAACCGCGCCTATAACAGAGGTAACTTTGACTGGAGCCTGTCTTTTGGCTGGGAACCCATCCCCGAGGATGCAAAGAGGCTACGCAAGGATGAAACCTACCCTGTAAAGTAAGAACAGTCATGTTGGTGTCACGTTCAACTTCCTGAACTGTATAAAATACCTGATTGGTTTTCTGTCTGACTATGAACATTTCAGAACGCCCACTTTTGCTGGAGGTCTCTTCGCGATCTCACAAAAGTACTTTGAACACATCGGAACATACGATGACCAGATGGAGATTTGGGGCGGTGAAAATGTGGAAATGTCATTCAGGGTCAGACCTCTTTATCTAATCTCTGCTTACACAGATCCACTTTGTCACAAGTCTCCTGTTACTGAGTTTGTGTCATTTTTGATTCAGGTGTGGCAGTGTGGGGGTCAGCTAGAGATCATCCCTTGTTCTGTGGTGGGCCACGTCTTCCGTACCAAGAGCCCCCACACCTTCCCCAAGGGCACTGAGGTCATCACCCGCAACCAGGTGCGCCTAGCTGAAGTCTGGATGGATGACTACAAGAAGATCTACTATCGGCGTAACCAAAATGCAGCAGTTATGGCCAGTGAGGTCAGTTTTAAGAATAATTTATCACCCTTGTTCTGATACTTTTTGGCTGGAATTCAGACTCGTGTTGATATGATTTTGTACTCATAAGTTTATTAGTGTGTTTTGTTTTTCTAAATAACGTCCCTTTTGCTGTACAGCATAGATTTGGAGACATCTCTGATCGCCTGAATCTGAGAGAGAGGCTTCACTGCAAGAACTTCAGCTGGTACCTAAATACAGTCTACCCAGAGATCTTTATTCCAGACTTAAATCCAGAAAAATCTGGATCTGTGAGTCAGTTTTGTGAATAGCGAACATCTAATGCGCAACATGTGATGTGTACCTGTGGCACTATTTAATTATTGTGTCCATGTTTGGTCCAGATTAAAAACTTAGGGTCTAATATGTGCCTGGATGCTGGAGAGAACAACCAGGGGGGTAAACCTCTCATCATGTATCATTGTCACAACATGGGAGGCAACCAGGTAAAGTAACTGATGCAGTATGTTAAAGACAAGTTGATTATGCTTTTCAGCATTCGAGTTCTAATTGGATGATTGTGTCCTTTAGTACTTTGAGTATACGTCTCATAAGGAGCTGCGTCATAACATTGGAAAACAGCTGTGTGTTCATGCGGCGGTGGGATCAGACCCGGTGAAGCTTGAGCTGTGCCGGCTTAAGGGGAAGGGTACCAGTGTGGCCCCTGAACAGGAGTGGGTCTTTACAGAGGTGAGGAGCAGTTGGAGGCCAACATTTCTTTTTCTTTTTTTAACATTTGGCCAAATGCAGCTAATCGCTATCATACTTGTCCACCACATGTAAAGCTACAGCCATCTTCCAGGTAGCTGCAACTGGGAAATAAAGGGGGAAAAGAGTGAGCTTACTGAGTGTCATCATGAGGTTGCTGAAAAATCTAGTGGACGGTCATCGCAAAGAAAAACTTATAAAACCTCAACTTGCCGTGTGTACACTCTGAACTGCTTTAATGCATGATATATAATATGTAAGGTAGAAAACTTTAGAGGTGGTGCTAGGGAGATTTTACCTTCAGCAGGGCCATCTTTTGCTTTACATCTCCTGTGATAGTTGTGATTTTTCTCAAACTAGATGTTTAACCAATTGTTGTTGTATCCAAACAACAGTTATTTCTTTTAATGATTATGTTTATTTGAGTTTTGCCAACTCCTTCTGTTCTTCAGGAAAATCTTCTGAAGAATCCAAGCAGTGGACAATGTTTAGCGTTGAAAGGAGGCCAGATTTTGATGGACTGCAATGCTGCCGAACTCCACCAGCACTGGACTTTCACCTGACCTTCCAGTCTTCCCGCCGGGTGACCTTTGATACCTTCTACCCTCCCCCCCCTTTCTCAAACCTGGCACAAAGGAGCCACATCAATATTGATCGAGTAGAACTTCACCGAAGCTGTGAAGCTTGGGGCGCATACTGAATGAATATTTAAAGAAGGAGGGACAAGGTAAAGACGGTCACATCTGTCAGATGCCTGGGGTGGTCTTAGTTCATTTTAAATTTATTTATGAAAGAAACTCTGCAAAGACATTTGCTGGTGGTTGGGGATCTTCAGCGTCTGGGCTGCGGCACTTGGGAGTGTCACCTTGATCAGGGCGAAGCTGTGAAAACGTGACCTTAAATGACTGGATTTGCTCCTAAACTTGGAAAATTCTTCTTGCTTTGTTTTTGTCAGACACTGAATGTGATCATAAGTTTATGGAGTAACAGATGTCTGCTTTTTAAATAAAAATTATGTTTTAGATGAGGGCTTGTTTGTACACAGTATGTTTTTGTTTTGCGTTTAGTTTTTTGGGTTTTTATTTTTTTGTTTTATTTTGTTTTTAATTGCCAAGACTATTCCTGCAAGTTTTATACATAAAAACTAAAATATATTGGAGTTGTAACGATCTTCTGTTGTACGTTGTGCTTCTTTGTATATATTTGATAAATATTACATAAGGCACTAATCTTAATTTTCTTTTTAGCTGGGCAATGGTTGGCACTGATTAACAAAATGTAGCCACTCCTAGGAAGTAGTAAAGGAATAATTTACAAAGACTCTTTGGTTACTGATACTGCAATATCAACTCATTGGGCTTCAAAGTTACGGTAGCCTTAAGCTGTCAGCCTGGAAACGCTTCATGATTCATTTTACAGCCCGAGAAAACTGTGTCCAGGGTCGTAGTCTGATAAGAACTCATTCCTACGAAGAGTTAAGACTTGCTTTGTCAGAGGTACCTGTTAGGCAGTTGTGCAACATTTATCTAAGGAGTGGCTGAGGAGCAAGAAACATTCCTGGTATTAAATTCATGTGACTAGACCTGAAATGTGACTTAACGCCACTGAGCAGGTTCATCAAACTTCAGCTGATGGACTGTGAGGATTCTTGATTTCATATGCAAATGAGATTTATGGCAAAGCAGAGTAAATGGCAGCGGTTACATTGAAGGAAGCAATGGCACAGATGCATTACCCATTTTGTACAGTAGGTGGCAGCACACAGTCGGGAAACTTTTCTGCAAGGCGAGGGTGATAGCTGAAATGTCGAGTGTCATGCAGCCACAGGGAAACGAGTGGTCACAGCAGACGGTCGAAGAACAGATGGGTCAGAAGATGAGCTCAGAGAGTCTGACTCGCTCTGAGGTGTTTGGGCAGCTCAGGAGGGAGCTTTACGGGGAGGAGCGGTCAAGTCATTCCAATACACACTTATTCATCATACTGGGAGCATCTGTGAGTACAGCTCTTAAAACTGCTCTTTCATGCAGCATATGATGAAATGTCTCGTTTAATGTGGTCACTGGTCTTGTAGTAGCACCGTATTCTAAACACATCGCGGTGTCTGAAGTCACGGGCTGGTTTGAGGGAAAAAAAAAACGTGCATAAAAATGATTCTCATATTGTTGCAGTGTGGTGATCCGAATGAAAGCCAGGTGTGAGCGCATGCAGTTTGAAATGTGCTGCATCTACTTTTTCCTTTGTTGAGCAACAATAGAAGCTGATGATTTAGCAGCGACAACATTTTCACCGTTTTTGGCTTTGAGCCGGGAACAGAGTACCAGTTGCATGTTTATCGGTCATGAATGTTTTTTTTAAAGTAACCTAATTCACACTTACAAGTCTGAGTTCTGCAGATCAGGTGTGTTGCTGGAAAATGTGACTTATTCAATTACTCTGCAGATTCTTTTGCACCACAGTGATTATTTCCAAAGTTTACTTAGTCTTTGGACTCTGAGTGTCCGTTCACTGTGAATAGATCTAAAGAAACTTTTTTGTTGTTGTTGTTTTTGAAATTTGTATGATTTAAACAGGGAGATCTTGCTAAAAAGAAGATCTATCCAACCTTATGGTGAGTAAAGAACTGCAGCACGCACACAGCAGCTACATTAATAACAGAGCTGTGCTTTAAAGTTGTTTGGTCACCTTGTGTAATGAAGAGTTTGACCTTTGGCCAAAGTTTTCTGCATTGCTACCTTTGAATTTTTCAGGTGGTTATTCAGAGACGGCCTTCTTCCAGACAACACGTTTTTTGTGGGTTTTGCTCGGTCCAGCTTGACTGTAGAGGACATCAAGGCAGCATGTCTGCCCCACATGAAGGTAATACCTTTAAGGGTGTTTGACTATTAAAGATAAGATTTTGTGTTTTCAGAAATCATTGTTCCACATCTTCCTCAGGTCAGTGATGAAGAAAGCGACTACCTATCAGCCTTCTTCAGTAAAAACTCCTACCTGAGTGGCAGGTATGATGACGGCAGCTCCTTCGACCAACTCGGCAAACATCTGTCATCTCTCCCTGGGGGCACCAACGCTAATAGACTTTTCTACCTGGCTCTACCACCGACTGTCTACCATCATGTCAGCAAAAACATCAGAACCCACTGCATGAGCCTCAAGTTAGTACCTGACGAGTCCTTAAAATCAATATCTCACTTAGTGTTGATTGCATTTTCCTAATCCACTGTTTTTGTGGCAGAGGTTGGAACAGGGTAATTGTCGAGAAGCCCTTTGGTCGTGACCTCCAGAGTTCACAGGAACTGTCAACCCACCTTTCGTCCCTGTTTACAGAGAACCAGATCTACCGCATAGATCACTACCTGGGAAAAGAGATGGTCCAGAACCTCATGGTGCTCAGGTAACAAGCTCAGTACAGACTTTTTTGGGTGGACTTTATCACAGGAATGAACTTTCAGGTTGTCATAGACAGTATTGCTGATTTTCAGAAGTATTCATTACTATTCAACTTTTCCATCCTCCTGTTTTGTTTTAGTAATATTTTACTCACTCATTTCCAGGTTTGGAAATCGCATTTTTGGACCCATATGGAACAGGAACAGTGTGGCCTGTGTGGTTCTCACCTTCAAGGAGCCTTTTGGCACTCAGGGCCGTGGAGGATACTTTGATGACTTTGGTATTATTCGGTGAGAGAGACTGCATTCAGATAAATGTAAGTTTAAAAAAAAGCTAGTTTGTAAACTTTCCCTCATTGCTTTCTTTTCTTCTTAATATAGAGATGTCATGCAGAACCATCTTCTCCAGATGCTCTGTTTGGTTGCAATGGAGAAACCTCCTTCTACCAGTCCAGATGATGTGAGGGATGAGAAGGTAAAACCAGGGATTGGAAGAATTTGGGAATTGCTTTCCATAGCACGATTATCAAGTCTTCGCCATCCTTTATCCACCCCATTTTTTTCTCAAACTCTAGGTGAAGGTGTTGAAGTGTATACCTCCTGTTGAAGTATCAGATGTTGTGCTTGGCCAGTATGTTGGAGATCCTGAAGGGGAAGGTCAATCCAGACTGGGATACCTTGATGATCCCACGGTGCCCAAAGACTCCTGGACACCAACTTTTGCAACAGCAGTCCTGCATGTCCAGAATGAGAGATGGGATGGTGAGGCTTTAGTCCAGCTTTTTTGTTCCTCACCCGTCTCTCCTAGTCTACATTTTATCAAGCCTCCTTAAATTCTCCTTCTGCTTTTGCATCCATTATGCATGTCATCGCACCATGCACACCATGTACATCAGGAGTTCCTTTTATTCTGCGCTGTGGTAAAGCACTAAATGAGCGGAAAGCAGAAGTACGTCTGCAGTTCACTGACGTGCCGGGAGACATTTTTGGTGATTGCTGTCAGAGGAATGAGCTGGTGGTGCGGGTGCAGCCAGATGAAGCCATTTACTTAAAAATGATGACCAAGAGGCCTGGAGTTTACTTCAATCCAGAGGAGACTGAGCTGGATCTCACCTACAAGAGTCGATACAAGGTGCCTCAAGCTCATGTCAAAATATTAATTGTAATCCAGCTTTCAGAAGCAACTCTTACTCTTGCAGGAAACGTATTATGCTTTTCCTTACAGAATGTATATATTCTGTAAGGAAAAGACAATTTATTTATGAGCAATCCTTGTGAGCCACAACCTTAGGCTTAGACTGCTTCAGTTTTTGGGGGGGTTGTTCTACCTTGAAATGATGTCAGTATGTGTGGAAATCCTTAATCCAGTCATCTCAGACAAATTGCTCCAGATGTTAGTACAGCAGTGACACCCACCTGTTCTTCAAAGACTCTCTTGGCAATAGATGAAGTTGGAAAAAAGCACAATAAATCACTTTTAAAATAATATTATATTTAATACATTTTGAGACTTTTATGGTGGATGTCCCATTGTTACTTATCCTTGATACTGTAGGCCAGTAAACTTGAACTTAGTATGCATGTAGGAGTTTAACAGCTGCTGTCTATTTGTAGGATGTGAAGCTCCCAGATGCTTATGAAAGACTCATACTGGATGTCTTCTGTGGAAATCAAATGCATTTTGTTCGCAGGTTGGTGCCATCATTGAAAACATGAGCACATCTGCACAGTTGTTGCCAAATATTTTATCAACACTTTTAGTTGGAGATGTGTACCGGCCACGTTTAAACAGCTCTTTTTAATTTTTTAGGCAGTGATTTTCAGTGTTCCTTCTTTTTATTTATTTTATTTTATTTTATTTTATTTTATTTTATTTTATTTTATTTTATTTTATTTTATTTATTTGTTAAAATGTTTTCATCTTTCTGTCTCAGTGATGAGTTACGGGAGGCCTGGAGGATCTTCACCCCCCTCCTCCACCAAGTAGAGAAAGAGAAGCCACGCCCCATTCCCTACACATATGGAAGGTAAATACTGTTTTATCAGGCAGAATGAAATACGCATATCATACTTTAACAGTGACAGTTCTTCTTTCCATCTTATCTGTTATGTCCACAGTCGTGGTCCAAGAGAAGCAGACGATCTCCTGAAGAGAGTGGGATTTCGCTATGAGGGAACATACAAGTGGGTGCAGCCCCACACCGCTTAATTCTTTCTGTCTCACAGTCAAGTACTTGAGAAAAGATTGTAAACAAACAAGTTTACTGCAGTCACTGCTGCACTTGATTGATTTCTGCATGCACAGAAGAAAGCACTGCTTTTCATGACTAATTATGACAGCAGAGATTAAAACAAGCTGTAACAGTCTGATTTTGATGTAAATCTGATATTTCTAAATAAATCATCATTCACTCTTTTTCTTGCAATTTTTTTTAAAAGCATTGCAAATATCTGTATTCCTACGACCTTTGGACATTGTGGACATGGAAAATCTACAACCTTTATGGTATCTTATAGATACTAGTATAGGATAATTATTTACTGGCTGTGCCATTTAACTGTTAAGAATTCAAGAGTGTTCACTGTATTGTAAGGCCTTTGTTTACAACTGTCACTAATGCCCAATGGGAGTCATAAACAGACCCATGTATACCAGAAGGACCTGCTGGCCTGGTTCGTAACAACAGGAGCCTCTTTTAGTATCAGTCATGCAGGAAACACATTTAAATGTCTGGCGTCAGGTAAGAACAACTCTCAGGTATGTTCTAATCTAAACTAAGAACTCTCTTACTAACATGTTAATCTCTTACAATGCATAAACATGTTTTCAAATGGCTTTATATTTTTCTATTTCTATCAGCAGTTTTCACCAGATTGATTCTGGTTCTTGTACTTTGTCTCTGCCAGGTTCAAGGCCTAACTGGAACTGCATGCACACAGTTTCTTTAACATCAGTAATAGACCATTAAGTGATCCTGCCAGTACTTTGAAGTGCAGCAAGAACAAACATCTTTTTAAACAACCATTTGTAGTTTCTTGTGACAACCTATTGAAGTAATGATTTTAATGGGCCATATATGTTTGTAAATTGTCATGCATTTCATAGATTTGTGTAAAGCTAGAAAATTATTCACTGATAATGTAGAACCAGTAATCATTCACCTTTTATTCAGCTGGATATACAATCTGCACTGCTGCTGAACAATCAAGCAATAAAAAGTCAAGCAATAAAAAGTCATTGCACAAAGATTTTGTCTTTCAAGTTCTGTTTGCATTTCCCATGACTCTATTCTCTGAAAACTTGTGCACATAAATAAAATTCAGACCACAAGCTGCTCACTTGCCGCATACTGTATAAATTAATGTAGTTTACTGAGAAAAAAAGCCCCCAAAATTAGCAAGCGGTAGTCAACTAACACACACATGCACATTTAAGAATAAATAGTCTTCATCATTATTACAATGAAGATAATCCATAGAAGTACCTGAAATAAAAGGAACTTTTTGGCAATCACAGAAAGCAAGTCTGGCTTTTTATTTTTTTAATAAATTCACAAATCAGTCCCACGATGCAAGCACTCCATTCTTCAGACTATTTGTATGTGATGCATCTACTTTTATTCTTGTCACTCTCCTGGCTGCAGTTCTGCATGGCTGCTCCGTCCTCAATGCCCCTGGCGTACAGACGTACCAGCTGACCGTGGATCCTGACAGAAGTGAACAAATCTAATTATATATCTTATGTTTCATAACGTATTGTGGGATCTTTACCCTACAATACAAAGGGCTATGAGGCAACTGTTGTAATTTAGCACTGTATAAATAAAATTGAATTGTAGAACAACATGTTGGGTGGTGCTCTTACCTGCAGAAGATCTCAGTGAAAGGCAGAATCTCTCCATCACAGTTCCACACGGACACAGCTGGAGTCTTTTTGCAGCACAGACCACACAGGATGGGAGCCACTGTTTTGTGCTCGTTCATAGTCTCTCGCTCCACCACACTCTGTGCCAATTGCTGCTGAGATCCATTTCTGCTTACAGTGTCCACGTATTCTCGCTCTTCGCCACCTATTGCGCGATTCAGCTCTCCGATTCCTTCGTGCACCTCTTCTCTGCCATCTGGGAGAGAGAAACGGACGGCCTTCACTCGATGGACCTCCACAAACGGCAGGTCAAACTAGGAGAAGCAGGAACGATTGGGTCAAGCAGTTTCTAAAGTTTCTCAGTCCATTTGTTTTCAGCTGAATGTGATATACCTGGTCCTGTGTGCTTGTGTGTCTGTAGAGGAACTTGAGGAAGCTCAGTGGGTGAGTGTCCCATACTAGGATGAGATCCCCTGTTCCGTCTGCCAGATGAGCAGACGGAGAGAGACCTAATGGGCTCCTGGCACATGAGCTGGACATACAAGTGATCGATACACACCTGAACCTGCCCTCCACACTCACCCATTCACCTAAAGAGAGACGAAGAGATTGGAGAAGCTACAATTAGAACGATTTTAGCAGATGTAGATTATTTCTAAAAGAAAATAATGTTTGGCCAATGTTTAATTATAGAAAGAGGTGCCCCAGGGGTTATAAGGCAATTTTTAATAGAGTAAGGAAATGGGGAAAAACATTTGTGTGATTCTACTTATTTCAATATGTGTTGTGGACAACAACAGGAAGGCAAGAAAAACTCAAACCACCAGTCGTGACAACCAAGGTATAGAGAAGGGCACGTCTGAACAAACAAAAAGTTGTATCTTGAAGCAGATGGGCTGCAGCAGAAGACCACACTGGGTGCGACTGCTGTCAGCTAAAAACAGGAAATTGAGGCTATAATTTTCACGGGCTCACCGAAATTGGACCACAGAACACTGAAAAAAATCTTTTGTGGTTCACTTTTGTTCCAGTTTTGATTGTTGGTAGAGTCAGAATTTGGCATAAACAACATAAAAACATGATTCATCCTGCCTTGCATCAACACTTAAGGGTGGTGGTGTCAGTCAGTGTCACAGGGTACCCATCTTTGGATGGCTTCTTCTCTCATCATCCCAAACTGGTTTCTTGAACATGACAGTGAGTTCACTGCACTTAAACAGCATCCACAGTCAAGCTCAAACCAACAGTCCACATTTGAGATGTGCACCAATCTGCAGCAGCTCTCTGATGTTATCTTGTTATCATGTACCAGAATTTACGAGTATTTGTATCGTTACCTTCAGAGTCACTGCTGTACTGGCTGAAGTGGGAGCTGTACAGGGAGCCTGAATCAGAAGTGTGTGGGAATAGTCGCTCTGTACTTCTGGAGCACACATTGCACCTAAAAAGAACAAAGAGTTTCACTCTCCTTCAAGTCTGTGAACTAGCAAGCTCCCTGACCTTAGCAACAGCATTCATAAGAGCATTATAATCCATTCGCTGACAGCCAGAGACACCTGCTCCAAACAAAAACTAAGGTACTAACAAGAGGCTTGGTCTCAACTTTCAACTAGATCAAGTTTCTCTTGCTATGTCTCTTCTACCCTCCTCAAGGAACGAGCAACCAACACCCGAGTCCCTGCTACAGGGGGTAGCAGTTACAGTATCTCAAAGTGAATTTGACCCATTTCACTAGTCCTTGAATAATAATGATGCTCCTCACAAGGGCACCTTCTCGCTTTCAAATTAAAAGATTAAAAATGATCTTCCTTTTTAAAACCCCCACCAGAGTAACAAAAAAGTTAAAGGCTTTCATATTTTCTTCAAGGTCACGTTTTGGCCTGACTTGCAAGTGAAAGTTGCAGTTACATTAACAATGGGAGGAAGAGCACAGTCTCTTTTTATCTCTTTCTAGTAGGCGTTTTACCCTGAGAGGCAGCGCGTTTTATCCTTAGGGCTGGAGAGCAGTGGGTCTGCTGGTAGATACTGAACTATGCCCGCATAGCTTCTGTTGCTCAGGTACACAACTGTACCTATACAGAAGAAAAAAAATTAAGGTCGGGTAAAAATACAGAACACCAGATACTGTATATGTGCAAGATTTTAAAATAGAACAACAGTGGTTTTACTATAGCAAATGCTGAAAAGGGAAGCACAGATGCCACTAGAGACTTTCAATTTGGTCATCTTGATAACAGTTACAGTTTCAGGGTGAATTTTTAACTTTGAGATAAAAATAAATATAGAGAATCTGACAGAATGTTCTTCAGCAGACTGTCATTTGCTTTGTTTTAAAAGAATCATCGGTCTGGACCTGAATAGTCGTATCTGAGAGGTCCCATCCAGCGGTGTTTTTCACTCTCAGCCAGTACGTCTCCATAGAAGCCATAGCCCACCAGAGATACTGAGTAGCGTACCAGGGTGGAAGCATGGTGAACTGAACACACGTCTAATGGCTGAGAGTCTCCTGCAAGGCATTGAGGGCATCAAGGGGTGGGTATACAAACTTATTTATACAGTTCCAATTTTGAAAAAAATATATATGATCAGGGTTACACTCCCTTTACATTCATGAGAAAGAAAGTTTTCACAAGACTGTGCGATTCTATGAAAACATCGATACACCGTTAACTGCTTCCATAGGAATTTTGAGGGGAAGTAGCATCCAGGTACTGCTAATCAAATGCACTTGATTATTGATTATCATAAGTGTGAGCACCTCGATAAAAACAGAAGATTTTGCAGTGTGCAGATCTTGAGCATTCAGGTGTTTGCTAACACAATGCCAAGGAGGAAAGGCACCAGCAATGACCTCAAAACCATCAATCTGGAAAAGTTTATAAGGGCATTTCTTAACATTACGGTGCTTTATTTTTCTTAAAAACCAAGCACAGCACCACGAACACCTAATACCGACTGTGACGTAAGGTGGCGGAGGATTTGGGTTTGTTTTTTTAAGAGTCAAATGTGAGGCCATCTGTTTGACAGCTAATGCTTGCCCCAAATGGGGTCATCCAACAGGACAATGACCCCAAGCACAAAATCTACGACAGAATAACTTAAAAAGAAAAGAATCGAGATGTTGCAATGACCCAGTAAAAGTCCAGATCAGACAGGGCCTTAAGAGACCTGTGCATGAACAAAAATATCCAAACCTCAATGAACTGAAGCAAAATTGTAAAGAAGAGTGGTAATACGAATATAATTATTTCAAGTTTTTGCTACTGAATATAGTTCTTTGAGACATGGGGTGTACTTAGTTTCCACGCAGCTGCAGAGAGTCTTGTGAAAACGTTCTTTTTCACATGACCGTATGCAATATTTCCTCACCAATAATGATGTGCAAAGCTGAAGAAACAGGATCAATAACCCCCACTGTGGCATAACACACACAGTCTGTGGAACCTAAAATAGATAACATATATCAGGAAGTGAGAGTGACACCTTTAAATCTGAAGCCATCAGTTTATAATTGCTTATGAACAACAACCTGCAGGGATGATGCCAATATGAAGTGGGCATGGCTGCAATGTGACAGCGGGATCAGTCTCACAAAGACCTGCCTCTTGTTGTGTCCGCCCAATCAAACCATGAAGTACTTCACTGAACATGCCATCGCCACCCACACAGACCACACTGCAATAAACAAACATAATCGTTTCTATTATGAAAGCACCTCACAGTGCTCTTTCACAACAGTATTTATACCGCTGCGCTGATAGCGCTTACCCATCAAAGCCTGTCAGATCTTTCTTCAAGAGGTGGTCTCTGGCCTGGTTAGCCCGTTCAGTCACTGAAAAAGTTTATATAATGATTACATGTAAACTGTAAGGCTGTGTGTCAGAGTTAAACTTTAAACATCAACTGTGCGATCAGTTTACCTATAACATGAGAGCTGATCCCAGCCAGCTCAAACAGAGGGGCAACAAGTGAATGGTAGATCTCTCTTCCTTTCTTTTTTCCTCCAAATGGGTTGATGAACACCAACAGTCTATGTGGACGCAAAGGACCTGAAAGATGCATGTTGAATATCACAGATGGGAGCTCAAAACGTCAGATATGCAACAGATTTTTTTTTGTTAAAGTAAAATAATAGTCTATTTAGGAGAAATACAAGGTTAAATATCAGCTGTGTTTCTAGTCCAATTATCCACCCCTACTGTGAGTTTTGAGGGCAGTCCTTAGGTGATTTGTCCACTGGTCTCTGAGGACCCGACTGGGGCAGCTGAACTGGGTCCGGCCCAGGCTCCACAACAACCCATAAGTGCTTCTACTCCTGCTACGCTTGATGTAGAAAACTGAAGGCAGATGACAGATACAAGAAATGGAAACCATGATGTAAAACCATAGTATCAACTGTTGGAAGTGGTGGTGGTGATGATAGTAGGGGGGGCTACAGGCACACATTGCACAAAATTGTAAAGTAAGCTGTGAACTTGGGTGTCTAGTTTTCGAACTACACCGTCATCTAAAACCCACCTGTGAAATCTTTGTCTGTGTCTTCAACTGACTTCTGGGGCAAGATCTCCACCCGACCGTTCTCCACTCCAACCACCTCTGCCACAGGTACTGAAACTTCAATCGCGCAAATGCACAATGTGAAAAAATTGAGTAAACATGTTTCTTTGTGTCGCTGCAACTGAGTGAACTTTTTAACTCTACAAAAGGATTGTTTCTCATTTTTCACTTGTCATAGAAATTAATGCATGATACAGCTGGTTCCTTGCCAGGTCTCAGGCCCAAACAATACAATAATGCTAGCTGAAATTCCATGCTGCTTCAGTTTCATCATGGTGCCCCTATTCGTTTATGCTGCTGCTTTATTAAGATGCGGTGGCTCACGAGGACGCTTGAATAGAGCTGAGCTATTGTTTGTGTGATACCTTTAAAAACACAAGATGGAGAAGGCTTATTGTGTCTGCTGACTGACTGGCACACCTAAAAGGATCAAATTCTACATAATTTACTATGGCAGTGTATCATAAATCACAATGTGTTAGTGGTTTTAACTGGACAGTATTAAAATATTTTTTCGCCTATATTTGTGGATGAGACAGAAAAAAAACACTTTTTTAAAATGCAAACTAGAATTTAAGCTCAGTGTTGGCGTATAATATTATGCCAGGAGGTGGGTGTGTTTGTGCCTGTGTTTTTAGTAAACTACCTTTGTAGGTCATGTGTCATGTTTGTGCTGCTCAACTCGTTCTTCACGTTTTCTGCATGCCCTTAGATTCAATTGATGTGCCCCTTCTTGTGTTCAAACTTAACGCCTAGTTTGTAATTGGTGTTTGTGGTGTAGGCCACTGTCTTTTTTTGTCAGTTCAGTTCAGTTTATGTCAGTACAGTGCAGACGAAGCAGACTTTCTCTTTTAAATGTGGTGTTGCAAAGTGGTCCATGTGTGCACATTTATATTTGGCTCTTTAAATGTTAAGTAAAACAGGGGAGAAGTACATTGTGAAACTTTCTGAGTGTTTGTGTCGCGCTCTCATTTAAACACAGTCTCTATAAAGCCCCATTAAACATCTAGGATACAGATGTGAGGGAGATACACGAGCACTTACCTGTTTTCTTGTCACCATTCTTTTTATCCGCCTCAGTCCATTTCAAATGCCAACCTGTGAGGACGGCCCGATATCTTTTATTTCCGATCCACAAACTTGACTCCAACCTCAGGTCAGTCTCCATCTGGAAAAGCGCTCTCAGTCACAGAGTCAGTCTTTCCCGTATGCCAAAACGCGTTCCTGATCACACTTTATGCCCATGGTGTTTGCATGCCTGAGAAGTGCAGACACCGGCGATCTGAACTCAGTTTCTGAATACAGGCTCAGAGTATTATTCCTTTAAAATGCTGAAGTCACCGCCCGATACACGGGCGTTATTCTGAAAATACCCATTTCCTATCTGCACCCTGCTCTTCTGATACCTGCTCGATTTGCATGTTTCGCTGCTGATTGGATGCCAGGTGTTTACCTGGAGCAATGTGGCCAAGTAGGCTAATCTGACGCGAATGTGTGCTTTCTCTCTGTTTGATTGACCTAAAAGCATTGCTTCGTTGACAGAATGGGGAATTTAAATGCATTTAAATACGTCATCTAAATATTTTGAGTGTGGAAGCCTCTGTAAATCATCAAATATTAAAACTAATAATACATGTTGTAGACTAATATAGGGCGACAAGTAGAAGATAGATGGTATTTAAAATTACAGTCTACCGTAATTTATTTTTTTAACAAGGATGAGACTTTTAAATAACAGAATGAGACACACTATAAATCTGACATATGCAGCAAGGAGGACAGCAAAGTAAAATAAATAACTATCTAACTAAACTATCGTTTACTGCAAAAAAGATTTTGCAGTAAACGATAGGATATAAAAGGCAGTTTATCCGAAGGTTGAGAGTATTAATTGATTAGTGCTGAAGCAACATTTTTATATTTTAGCAGGCTTTTTGGGTTTTGTTTTGTTTGTTTTTGTTTTGTGGGATTGCTCTTACATTTTTTTTTAAAAATCTCTAATATAAACTTTTTCAACAACAGTTTGTTTAATCCAGTGTCTATTAAAAAATCCTCTTTTGTGTTTGGAAGTGTTTGAAAATGTGTTGCATTTTTATCATATTGTTTAAAAATCTTCATCTAAACAGAGAATGTTGTCTAGTAAAATGTGTGCATCAGTTCCGTGTTAATTTACAAAAATGTATAACCTCAAATTAACACCGTCGGGCCACAGCAAGGGTTTAAGGCCACTGTTTTGTTTTTTTTTCAAAATAAATCCGATTAATACAATAGGTACAACTTTTATTCTGAAATCCCGGCAGAGCGGACGTGTATGACGTTATTGTGGCACGCTCCTTCCTCTTGCTTTCCTTGCTAGCAGGTCCATTTAGTTAGCTAGCGAAACAGGCTCTTTAACCCCGTAGGGGAACTGTTATGAATCATTTGACCAGTGTAGTATAATAGATTTTTTTGATTTTCATAATCTTGTTAGTAATTGATATTGGAAAATGAACATACGAAACGCACGGGTAAGTATAGAGAAATTCACTCGAGAGCCACGCTGTTTCTGCACAGAGCTAAGCTAACGTTACAGGCTGCAGTTTAGCTGAGCAGATATCGCCGGTCAGCTGTGTGACGCTTTTTATGTGTTTCTTTCAGCCGGAGGACCTAATGAACATGCAGCACTGTAACCTGCTGTGTCTTCCAGAAAATTATCAGATGAAATACTACTTCTATCACGGCTTGTCATGGCCACAGGTAACGAGCAGTGCTGATTCCAGGTTCCCTGTCTCTGCTAATGGCACTGCTCCTATCATACATACCATTACAATGTGTACGGTTATGTCTCTAATTGTTCTTCCGTTTAAATCGTTCCAGCTCTCATATATAGCAGAGGATGAAAATGGGAAAATTGTGGGATATGTGCTCGCAAAGATGTAAGTATTAGCGAGCATATTTGTATCCTGCTGTCACTTTTAAGAAAACGCATTGATTCTTATGACTTTTGCAAACTCTTTATAGGGAGGAGGACCCAGATGATGTACCTCATGGACACATAACATCCCTGGTGAGTCGGAGCACCTGCGACACCTCAGACAACTCCTTTGCCTCTTTTTCTTCATATTCTGTTGGGTGCTCCTTTAGGGGTTCACCACAGCGGATCTACCTTCAATCTCATCATGTCGCTAGCATTTCCTCTGTCATTCAAGCCCTCTAAATATCCTCCTTCACTACATTCCTGAATATTCTTCATGGTTTTCATCACTTCTTACTGTCTGGCACCTCCATAATATATCCACTATTATTCCATTGCACATTTGCAAACTAGCTCATCTTTGCCTCTTTATCTCCAAACTGCTCATCCTGAGCTCTCTCTCTGATGTACTAATTTCTGATCGCATCCTTCTTGGTTACTCCCAGTTCAAATCTTAACATCTTTAGCTCTTAAACCACCAGCTTCACCTAAAACACTCTGTCTTCTAGGCAGTAAAGCGGTCCCACCGACGTCTGGGACTGGCTCAGAAGCTGATGGATCAAGCCAGTCGGGCCATGATAGAAAACTTCAATGCTAAATATGTCTCACTTCATGTTCGCAAGAGGTACTGCGGACTCTTGGCTTGTTGCAAACTAGGGTTTATCTCTTTGTGTACATAAATGATTGTATGAATTCCTATGTACAAAATGTGTTCTGACTCCAATTGTATCTGTAAGTGCTCCTGTTTTCAAGAAATGTTTTCTCCCCACTGCAGCAACCGAGCTGCCCTGCACCTGTACTCAAACACACTTAAATTCCAGTAAGTATTTCTGTTTCTCTAGCAACATTACTGTTAAGTTTTTTAAATGTAATTCATGTACTACTACAACTTTTATTTTATTTACATCAGCTGGGCTACAATAGTTTAATTATACTGGTAGTCGATATAATTTCACCTGTGTTTAGTATAATTAATCAGATAACTGTATCACAAATGTGATGGCTACTTATATTGGTAGATAATTATAAGATTGTTATTCCCAGGTACTACTGGGTTTTGTTTTGTTTTTTAAAGTCTCTAAAGGCTCAGTCTACTTTTTTCTTTCCCTCACCATGCTTTGAAAATAGTTTTAAGGGTCATTTTCTACATGATTGTTTCTTTGTGTATATAGATGAAAGAATGTTGGTTGGATTAGTGATAGTTTCAACTATAACTCTCATTTTTAAAATCCATTAAAATTCTGTTTGAAAATGTGCTGAACAGCCGAATGTTTTTGCACCAACTTTAACTGATCTACTATCTTGTCCCTTCACAGGATTAGTGAAGTAGAGCCCAAATACTACGCAGATGGGGAGGATGCCTACGCCATGAAAAGAGACCTGGCCCACATGGCTGATGAGGTACTTGATTTTACATCTTTTTAAAAAAAAAAATGAGCTACTTTAGTTTGATTGTCACTCACTCTGAATTGCCCCTTAATATGAGCATGTGACCAAAATCTGAATGCGTTACTTTTTTTTCTTTTCTTTTTTTTGGGTCCCCTGGTCATCTCACAGCTGAGGAAACCCGGAGCACGCGTGCCGGGTCAAGAGGCACAATCTGGCCAAAGTCCGTCGGGGTCCGGTGACCATGAGAGAGAAAGCGAGAGAGACAGCGGAGGAGAGAGCAAAGAGCTGAGCGAAGTCAGCGAGGCAACAGAAAGCACAGATGTTAAAGATTCCTCTTCTGATTCACAGTGACGCTGCAGCTTTAGACATTTTTAAAATCATCCCTTGCATCCAGTTTTTATCTATTTGCCATCTCCCCTGACCTTACACACTGATTATCTCGGCACCAAAAATGCTCCAACATTTACGTCACTTTTTTATTTTTGGTAATTCTGTTTTTTTTTTTCTGCAGTGATGAGCAGAGACTTTGTTAATAGCATCAATCTACTCAGTTATCTAAATTAAATACAAATTAATTACTGGTCTGGTCATTTTTATTGGATTACTGTCATTGTAAAAGCTGTGTGAGGTTTAAGACCGCCTGTACTTTTCAATTGGTCTTTATTTAACAGAATAAATCTGTCAAATAATGCTTCTTGTATTTCATTTTTGTCAAAAAAGGCATCAAATAATGAGGATCTCTGAACGAAAACCAGCAGTCTGATAACAGTTATTCAACTGCCACCTTGGTATTGTGAGTGATGATCTGATTAAAAGTTAAAGACCCAAAAAATAGGATAAAAACGTTGGTGATGTTGGAATAAACGGATAAAAAGAAAATTTCTTCCAGGTTAATGATTTAACCCAACTCATTGTGTCTGCATTCTTCCTCTGGGCTACGTCCTTTTTCCAAAATGGTACTGTAGCTTCTAAGCTGAACTAATCCTCTGCAAAGAGTTTGTTTTTAATACATACGATTAAAGATGGAAAGGACACCATAGATATTTGTCCTCAGGTAACTGGTTGGAGCATGCCACCAGTTCACTATATGGTGTAGGTAGGTGTAAATACTAGAACAGCTGGCACAAAAGTCTTCAATCGGAAGGATTTTGATCTGTAAAAGTGAGTGCTTGTAAGCACGGCCACTGTGGAAACATGTTCGATGCCATGTAGTAATGGAATGCTGAAGTTCATATTAAAGTGTCATCTACTCAGCCCATTTTTAAGCCTATTATTCATAAGTGGGGAAGTGCCTTTACTGTCAAATTTATACTTTAGTGACTCCTACTGGCGGAGAAAGACTACTGCATGGCTTTTCACAATACCTACAGCAAGAGTTCAATGCCAGGAATGTCATGGGTCTCTATAACAGGTCACAATGGGACATAGTTAAGTGTAACTAAATTCAGATGAGTTTACTTTTCCTGCAGTGAACTGAATAGTTGGGCCATGACTGTTTACAGTTGAGCTCAAAGATTTTGTTTACTTTTATGTAGGGTGTAGCAAGGTTCAAAGGTCATTCTCGGTTTAAACTGAAAGACACAGCTCCCTGCTGCATTGGGACTCAACAGAGACTCCCTTCAATCAAACTGTTCTTTCTCAAATGTCATCCAGAATGCGTAAGTTAAATACCAGTTGTTTTTTTTTAATTGTTTGTGCAACACCGTCTGTTTGTCTGTTTGAGGAAGGAAACGAGTGAAAGAGAAGTACGTGACAGATAAGAACAAATTATGCCTAATGATCTTTGAAAGAGTTAGAGTCTCTCTGACAAATTGCAAGAAGCTCAGCTTCACACCAGCAGGCTGTTTAACACCTCTCAGACAGAGAAGTCAACAATGTTGTTGTAAATCTTTCTGTGTTATGATTTCATAGCAACAGTGGTCTTTGTTTCTGTTTTTCTTTTCCCTCCTAATCTACATAACTGACTGTTTTGTTTTTTTAAAGTCAAGGTTGCTCCCGCTCACTCATATTGTAGCCATGACAGTGTATAAAAAATATATTTTAAAAAACCTAATAATAATAATAATACTCAAAATAACTTTCTTTTTTCCCCCTCAACTGAAGTCAGCTCAGTGCAGCTGATTTCACTCAGGAACCGGCAAGGAGAGCCCAATCAGTGAAAACAGCTGTTGTTTGACTGAACTGAAAACCTGCTGTGGGGTTCAAGAGGAGGCACGAAAGAGAGAGAGAGGAAGGACTATACTAGAAAAGGTTTTCACACGTCACATGCACAGTCACACACTGATGGCTCAAACTGAATGTGTGAGTGAGAAGAAGCGGGGAGGGAAAGGGGGGGGTAGGGTGAGGGTGAGAACAGCAGAAGTAAGTAAGTGTGTGAGAGAGAGAGAGAGAGAGTCAGTCAGAGATGACTTCCACTCCACCCACATCCATCCGTGTCCAAAGTGAGGGGGAGGTGAAGCAGTTACTGCGCTATTAACTGGCATCATTTAGTTCAGTTTAGTGTGGAGGAAAGACTAGTCAAGACTCCTGATCAGGTATGACTCTCTGCACGTATGACACTCTTGTTGATTTTTATTTGTTTTCCTGTCTCACCAAATCAGCACTGGTAGTCAGTTTAACGCTTAATGAACATGTTTTTGTATTAAAAAGGCGCATGCTGTTATGCAGTTAAGGTTTGCATTGCTTGATCATTTTATGTTGTTGTTGGCTATAGACAAACTCCCCCAGGGCGAGTGATGTTTCATAACTATAGAAGCCTCTACTTGTTTGTGCTTGTTTAAAAAAACACTAAAATGGTAGAAAAGGTTACTTTAGTAAAACAGGAACTGAAAAGCCATAGTAGCAATAAGGTTAAGACTAGCCTTAATGAAATACTGCGGCAGGTTGTGAGGATAGGATGTGGTGATTCACCAGCTGATCGCATGGAGAAAGAATGAAGCGACTAATGGAAAAGGGTGACACAGGCTGCAAAAATTGAACTCCTTTTTGCAGGGAGTTTGGGCCATGCTGAAATACAGCAGAGTCATGTTAGCAGGTCATCTGTTGGGAGAGTGCACATTTCAGCTAAAGAGAGTGCTGATGAGTGATGTTTGGCTTTCAAAAAAAAGGGAAGTTGAGGGGAGAAATGGAGAGAATGTGTGCGTATTGATTGTGTACAAAAGGGTATGATCCAGCAAGACAACACTCTGATCTTCCTCTTTTTGAATTGCAATAAATTTCCTTTAATGTGCAGTATTTTTGCAAAGTTCAGGATTATCGTGCGCTGAAGAAAAACCGCCGTGCTCCAGCCACACTCATCTTTCTTTTTTCTTGAGAATAGGCCTGGGTGTAAGTTTCACCCATAAATTATAGTTAAAAGTGTGTCAAGAAACTGAAACCTATCAGAAACGATCAGTTAAACCTCTATCAGTAAGACCTGGTAGTTTTCTTTGTCTAACTGTATTCAGGGTAAAGCCAGTTCTCCGATAAACATGTCCTGTCGTGTTCATCCTGAACTGGAATATACCTGGGTATAGTCTTCTCAATCGGCCAAGACATGCTGTAAAGTGAAAGGCAGAAGGATTTAAACCTTTATTGGTGAAAGTTCTTTTTCCTTCTTTTTTTCTTCTTCTGTAAAACCACCTGTAGTGTTGAGCAAAAACATCCCCGTACAGTTGTGCGCCTTGTGGTTCGTCCTATTTTTAGGGCAGCTTGAGATGCTGTTAGAGTTATTTTTGCACCTTGTGCAATTCTGCAGTCTGCCCGGTGCAAGCAAGCAACACATGCCAACCGGTTTTCTAGTTGCCTGCTGTTCAGGGAAACGCAGCAGAGTGTGACCACGTTGAAAAGATGTGCTACAGTAAGACGAACATGCTCATTTCAGCTCTACAAGTCTCTCAAGAGGAAGTGCGTAGGGTCTATTGGAGGAAGGGGAAGGGTGGAGGTGGTGGAGGGGACTTCAGTAGAAAGGGTTTAACAGGTTTTCTCCACCAAAGGATACTGATCAGCTTGCATGCCCACAAATTTTACTCCCCTCTTTAAGAAAGGGTTAACAGAACAGAGCTGATATTTCATGCTAGCTTATAAATGAAAGCAATCACTGCATTTATACAGAATTCCACCCAGCTGGATCAACAATGAGTTCCCATGTCAAACTTCGGAAGGAGCGGGTCAGTGTGGTGGACTACGACATTCAAATCAAAGGTAAAAGGCATGTGGTGGTTTGTGCCACACTGAGAAACACAACCTCTTTATTTCACACCATCTTAACTCTGATCAGTGAAACCAGTTTCTAACCTACTTGTCACAGTAAGTGTGTCTTTGTCGGCCTTTCAGAGGTTCGCTGTCAGCTTGTAGACCAACTGAAAGTATTGGACTTGCAACTTGAGCAAAAGAACCAACAGCTGCAAGACCTGACAGACTACCTGCGTCGACGGGGTGAGATTGAAAGCGAGTATGCTCGTTCCCTGGAAAAACTAGCAGAAAGGTTCACATCAAGGATAAAGAGGTAATTGCACACTGCACATAACGTGCTAAACTACACAGCAGTTCATTTCAATCTTCAAAGTTTGTGTCCTTTTGTATTTTTTTTTTTCTTGTTTATGCATGACCACGCTCAGGAAGGAGCCCAGTAGTAACTCTGTGTCCCAAGTATGGCTTACTCTGCTGTCCCAGACCCGCCAAGAAAGTAGGGACCATAATGGACTGAGTGAAAGCTGCAACAACTTTCTCACCCAACCTCTCACACATTGTGTGGAGTACACACAGCGCCTTGCAAAGAAGGTACTACTGCAAGCGCTCACCCACGAACACACTGCCATGCACTTCTGCAGTGCAAATGACATAATACTTGCTCTGTTATCGTTTTTCCATTCTCACTTTAACCACCAGTTCATGTTTTTTCCAAATCTTGATATTTAAAGTATGACGTGGGTCACTGTGTCCTTGCTGTGTCGTGTCATCTCACTTCTCTGATATTTTGTCTGTGTTTTCCAGAGTAAAGACATCTGCATTCAGCTACAAGATGGGCTACTCAAGGTTACCACAGAGCTACAGGCGGTACGTGAGAAACCAACCACACAGAATGTTTTCCGTTTCTTAAGTACACAGAGGAAAGCATTGCTTTTTGTGCCTGTGTGCAGGCATGGCGAACATACTACCAGTACCACTCAGACTATGTCTGTGCAGAGGGGAAGCTGAGGGAAGCAGAGAAGCAAGAGGAAAAGCAGAAGCAGAGCACAAATAAAAAACTGGAGAGGCTGATAGAAAAGGTAAATGCTTGGTGTCATGTGCGTGCATGCACGTATCATGTGACTCTTACTGACGATGTTTATGTGCTGTAGAGACAAATTAAAGTCCAAGAAATAAAGCTGAAGTGCAGCAAGGCCCGAAATGAGTACCTCCTAAACCTGGCTGCAGCCAATTCCTCCATGAATAAGTACTACCTGCAAGACATCTCTACTCTCATAGATGTGAGTACATCAGTCACCTTTTCCTTTCAACATACAAAAACCCTACATAGCACTCAAGGTCATGATCTCTCATGTCATTTGAACCCCAGCGCTCATTGTTTCCATTCCTTCTGTCATGATCTGAAAGCTCCCGAATGAATGAAGTGATTCTAAATTCAGTTTCCTCCTCCAGTGTGCAGATACAGGTTACCACACCACTTTGGGCAGGGTGATGCAGGCCTACTTGTCAAGACGGTGGAAGGCCCAGGATAACCTGAGCGCAGGCCTGCAGCAAATAGAGGAGGCCGTGTCTAGACTGGACCAGAGCCGGGATAGAGACATCCTCCTGCAGGACAACTACAACACCTTCTCTATGCCCCTACGCTTCCCCTATCAGCCCCACGATGGGGACCAGGTGTGTATTTTGATTAAATTATGTAAAGGAACTTTATATATTAAGTGTGTGGAACAACTCTAGACTCCCTTGCATTTCAGGTTACTCAGGTCAGTGCGGAGTGTGAGATGATATGCGAACTGGAGACCAGATTCAAACAGATACAAACTCGACTGCAAGCCGTCACCCAGGAAACTGAGGAGGTAAAGAAAATCGCACCAACCAGGGCTGCTCGTTATCATATTTTGAATTTTAACGAGGCTGCAAATAGTCTATGAAAATTTCTTCTTGTTTCCTTATTCTAATTTTAGTTAAACTTATTAAAGCATCACAGCCTCAAGTACAGAAAGGAAGTAAAAGTGATGGAGATGCAAAAGCACTATAATAAAAGGCGAGAACGCCTTCCACCTCATTATTGACTATATTTAGCCCTTTTTTTTTAAATAGTTCTCATGATCTCAGTTTGTAAGACAAGTATAAATCTCAGCAGTTCTGCTGGCACTTGAAAGTGACATAATGTCTCAAATGTGGGTATCTACACAACACAGAATTATCAGCCAGTGTGCAATATTCTGACCTGATCCTGCAGTACACCCAGCAACTGCAGGTCACCTCTCACCCTGTTGCTCTCATATAGGTTAATAAGAGCATGTCAGCAGCCCAGGCTTCTCTGCTGGAGGGCATTGGCGATGATCTGGAGCCTTCATCTCAGGAGGGCAGCACTGAAAATCTGACTGTAAAGCCCAGCGCCACTCGACGACGGGCCAACCTGCAGGAAATAGAATACCTCTACTTTACTGTGAGTCGGTAAAATTTGGGGGCAACAGCAATGATGTGCAGTTGGTGTGGTAACGATAAAAAAATACTAATCTGATCGGTGTAATTTGTTTTACAGAAAGTAAAGGAGTACCTCGTTGGCAGCTCTCTTGTATCTAAACTGCAAGTTAAACATGATCTGCTTAAAGAAGCTGTAGAAAAAGGTATTGCTTCTGCATTTCTCACGTTACAATACCACAAGTTGTTGACTCTGTGTCACAAACAAAATACCAAACACAGAGTATTTCTCCTTTTTAAAACGGATTGCTCTTATCATATGTTACGTCCTTTTTCTTTTCTTCCCAGCTGAAGTATCAAATGACCATCAGCCTCGGTATGAATATAATTATTTTTAACAGTTGTCGCTGAGTCATCGTTTTTATTTATTCATGCTACCAGTCTTAACACTGTGCCTCCACGGTCCTGTGTGTCATTCTCCAGACACACTGGAAAGTCTATGCGTGTCAGAAAGAATCACTCGAGTGCCAATTTGATGCACAACCAAAAACTTTTCAATGGAGACATGCTGTCCTTCATAACGGTAACACCGGTTTCCTCTTTCAGCTCTCTCGTTGTCATTTTAGTTTTTCCCTTTGACTCGTGATGAGTCAGTGAAATTTATTGTTTATTTTTAATTCAGGCATCAGGACAACAGATTCCAATTGTTGTGGAAAGCTGCATTCGCTATATCAACCTCCATGGTGAGTCTTCATTGCTGAAGTAACATTAAACCATTAGATGTTATTGTAAAAAGACAACTGCAGACACACATACATCTAGCCTCTTGTGTTTAAAAGTGACTGAGGGAAACAGGCACTCATTTTAGACCACTGCGATAATCTGTCTGCCCATCAGGACTCCACCATGAAGGGATATTTAGAGTGCCGGGGTCTCAGTTGGAGGTCAATAACCTCAGGGACGCTTTTGAGCGAGGTAGGGGTGTGTGTGTTTGTTAGATTAACTTCTATTCATAGCGCTCCTCTCCATGGAGCATTAATAATGTGGGGCAGTGTGCCATGGGCTTCCCCTGCAGGAGAGGACCCTTTGGCTGAGGGGAGTTATGACCTTGACTCGGTGGCTGGAGTGCTGAAGCTTTACTTCAGGGGTTTAGATAATCCACTCTTCCCCCTTGACAGCACCAATCTGCTCCTGGAGCATGCCCGTGAGTGTTCTTGTGCACCTGTGGATATAATTAGTGTGGCTAAGGATGCTCAGCAGCAACTTCTCTTTTATTTCATCACCTTTTTGTTTTCCAGAAATAAAGAATGAGGCAGAGCGAGCAGCTGAGCTGAAAGCTGTGATTTCTTCCTTCCCCGAGCCTGCTATCATCGTCATGAGATACCTCTTTGCATTCCTTTATCAGTGAGTGTCGTTACCTGTGACTTGAATATGGAAAGCCTGAATTTTTGCCTTGTTTTTTCTCATTGCTGAATCATTCTGTGAGAATCATTAACATCCACTGTTAGTGCAGTTAAATAAGATTATATGAGGTAAAAACAACCAATAAAATTAACCAACTTTAATTTTTCTTTGTTTCTTTATTTACTCCTCTCTCTCTGCCTTCAGTGTGTCGGAGTATAGTGACGAGAACATGATGCAACCTTACAATCTGGCCGTGTGTTTTGGCCCGAGCCTGATAAGAGGGGCTCATGATGACGACGTCGTGACCCTGCAGCCTCAGATCAATGCCCTGGTGAAGGACATCATCATTGAGCAAGAAAGCATCTTCCCCACTCAGAGCGAAGTGCCGGGACCAGTTTATGAGAAATGCATGACACTAGAACTGGATGACGGGTACAGTGAAAAAGTGTAGTTCACATAACATGCGGGGGTTGGGGGGCGTATTGTGGAATGATTATATTATGCTCTTTACTTCACAGAGAGACCAATGTTGATGGAGATATAGAAACTGAGTACACCCCTAGCAAAGATGGTAAGTTTATGTGGCTATTTCAGTTCATCGCTTCATTAAAAATATATAATGATGTCTTTGAAGAATAAGAAGGATGTATACATTTGCTTTGCTGCAGATTTAGAAATGGGCTTTTTGGCTGACAACAGCACAAGTATGTCCATGTCTGGAGTAGCAACACCCAGAAGGGGAGAACGCCCCAGAGCTAATAGCAGCGGGGCACTAGAACACAAATTAACAGCTGCACCAGGAGGAGGCAGCTTCGGTTCAGGTGGAAAGTGCACACTTCAGATTCCTGTTGGGCCGCAATGTAAGCCAAGGAGGATGCCCTCTCCTTGTTATGGGCAAGAGTAAGTAACCCAACAACAGCTGACTGACTGTGCTTGAGTAAAACATAATTATTCAGACTGATCTCTTTCTGCATACAGCTACCAGCGACGGTCATCTGAGGATATAGCCTCTCGAGTAGATAAGGTGTGTCTTGTTTTTCTTATAGCTCTCTGTTTATAACCTAATAAATGTCTTTAAAAAGAAAAATACCGCATCATTGTGCAATGAGCCAACTTTAAATGAAGCCAGTATAAAGGGTTCTCACAGTAATCTGTGTCTGTAGCTGTAAGCGTTACAACATCAGAGGTTGCTAAAGGGGACAATGAGCCAAACTGTACTTGGAAATGTGCTGCTGCTAAAAAGCAAGTGGCTGGGCTTTTTTTTTTTTTTTTTTTTTTGAAAAAAATCCATTTTTGATAACCAAAAAGAAGAACTGAGTGTTAACGGTAGCAGGAAACCCAGAGTCTGGGTTTCCTGCTTACGAAAATCTGAGTGATGTTCAGTAAATTACTATGCAGAGTAATTAGTCATTGCCAAGAGCAGCGGGCAGAAACGGAAGTTCTAAAGTCGAAAAGTAGAGAAAACGGACACTTCCCCCTGTTTCCTCTCTCATCCGTACTTTTTTATTTTCACATTACAGGAAGTCTGTCGCCAGATGGACTCAGTCTTTAAGGAGCTTTTGATTCGACAAACCCATCAGGATCCCACCCCCACTGTGTCCTCCCCCTCAGTCCAGACTCCCCAGAAGAAAGGAAAGCAGGATGGGCGCAGGGGGAGAGGAACAGGGCTCTTCAAATCAGCAGATGCAGCGGACTGAGATGATCAGCAATGGCACAAGACACACGGGGCGAGGGAGAGATGATACTAATGGAAGTTGAGGTGTAGCGTGAAGGCCTTTGACAGTAGCTTTCAGCACATCTATTTCTAGAAACCTGAGATCCTTGACTGAGAGTCCTTTCTCTGAGGTCTCCTTGACTCAGTCCTGTCTTACGTGTGATGTACAGCAGATTTCCACAGGCCTGCGGTACTATGTCAAAACTGTGAACTACTTGAAATGCACCAATGTGTTTGTAGGCATTTTTGATATTTGCACTTCTTCTCTTATTATATTAAACAGCTGCCCTACCAGTCAATAATTTTTAGTCAATACAGGCATAAGTGCACACTCTTAATCAAATTTCTATCAAAATGAGATGCTGGCACAAAGTCAAGAAAACTGTGAATGTTATAGTTGTAAACGTCAATTCCTACTTATCTCTTTATGATTTATCTGTATATTTGAACTACATGCTGAATAAATAATTTCTCTGGGCTTACTGCTTCATTAGATGTGTATGTAAAGCATGACTATAACTTGCATTTCTTTTCTTCATCCTGGGGTTTTATACATAGAATAATATATTCGGGCTTAAGTAAAAGTAGTCGAGATGCTCCTTTCTCATGCAACATTGGCTAGATGCCTCTGGGGCCTCCTTCAGTAATTGAAGGCCAGACGAGATGTATTCTTTTCAGTGTTTTCTGGGTTTCTCCCAGGTGTCCCACCCTGTGGATGTCCCTGGGAAAACCTTCAGTGGAATATGCTTGGGACGCTATTCCAAACATCCAAAATCGCTCCAAACATCTAAGCTCCTTACCCCTGCACCACTGCTCAATCTATACCAATATCTCTGTTGGTGTCTTGTCCTGTTTAATTTATTTAAATTTGATTTATATTGCTTCAAATCACCTAAAGGTATGTTTAAAAAAAAAAAAATAGGCCTCACTCTTCTTTACTTAGGGAAGCAAATCACCCTGAACATGGAGGGATCATCATTTATTAACAAAGCACCACAATCAGGTCGTCTGCTGACTTTCACCAAGGTGTGTCTCAGTAGCCTGAGTACATTTTTTTAAATGATTTTCAATTTAGGAGAATCACAAAATATCTAATGAAGAGATTTCTTAGGTTCCCTCTACTGGACACTCATCTTTGTCCAACCTGTCTATAAAGGTGGAGATAATTAAATAATGATAATAATTATTATTATAATATATATTATTATAACTGAATTATTACATATTTTTCAAAGGCAATGTCACAAATTTCTGTATACCCTATCCCCAAGGATGTCAAACTCATTGTAAATCATGGGCCACATACTTTGATTCTAAGTGAACCTCCACTTTCTTTCATTGTAAAGAAGTTTAAGTGCACATTTGATCCATGCGATATCTTAATATAAGAACAAGAAGTGCACTCTCAACCGCATGTCTCCTCCATTCTACATTATAAACAAATGCTCTAGTATTAAATAAAACAAATATATCAACACAACTCTGGGCTTAAATTGAAAAATAATAATCTAATTCCCCAAACTGTGCTGTTATTTCTAAAACAACATTTTTTGTAATTCACAGAAAGTGTATTATTTATTTCTTTACTTCTTTCACTCGTTTATTTATTTTTACTTTTGTCCAGTTTAAACTTTTCTGTTAATTGTCTGTCTATTACTTTATTACTTTGCTGTGGTGTGAATGACCATGAGGGAGGCTTTCATTAGAAATTTGTAAAAAAATAAATAAGGTCAGTTTGTTAAAGCTGTTTAGATCCATCATTTACTGACTTCCGGCCATTTTGATTCTGATGACGTGTCGACGGGGCACTTTCCCAGGGTGCTCTGCGGTTTCGAGAGTCCACGTCATTGGTGCGCAGACGCAGAGGTGCAGAAGCGCTGTGAGCTGAGGTGGACTTCTTCCTTTTTACTGTTTGGAAGGAGCCGAGCACTCAGGCAACTGGACCTCAGGAGCAACACGAAACCTCTTAAACAACCTCCGAGACGTCACGATGATCCGGATAGCCGCCTTCTTTGCGCTGCTGGTGGTCGCCTGCTCAGGTAAGACAACGCTGGAAGAGAGAATACCGGGTTAATAAGCCTGTAATGCTAATCAGCTTTAGCTAGTAGCTAATTCATTGAATCACTACCCGCAATCTCGTAGCCACAGGAGGGCAGAGTGGTGAAAGTTGTATTATCTATAGATGCTGTGTAGATGATCATGTGCAGGATTTCAGCTGACCTCAACTCTGCTCTTTGTGCCCATAGGAGAGAGCTGCACGGACCCAGTCATCACTCCGTCGGCCTACACCACCTCTGACGCCGTCATCTCATCAGAGTCTGTCTTCATCGTTGAACTCAGCCTGACCTGCGCCAACGGAGCACAGGTAACTGTCCACCTCTAACACAGCCAGCAGCACAATGATGTACTGATGCTACTGGAGCACTCATGGTGATTTCTGCTCTCTGCAGAGCGTAACGCTGTATGCTGATGTCAATGGAAGACAGTTCCCTGTAACCAGAGGACAGGACGTTGGAAAGTACCAGGTATGGATTCACATGTGGCTACAGGTCAAGGCACTTGCTTTTACTGAATCTGATTTGTTAGCAGAGTGAAAAAAATCAATCAGTCTCAAGCCTGGATGAAAGGGGAGGTTTGCATCAAGAAGGGCATCTGGTGTAAAATCTTTGCCAAATCAAACCTGCGGGGCATCAAGGAAAAGGTTTCCATACCAGATCGATCGGGGCCCAGGTTAACAACAATGGCCACCAGTGCTGCTGGCCAACAGGATGCTGGTTGATAGTGTGCTACTACTGACTGAAGACAAATTAAGAGGAGAAGGGGAAAAGATGATAGGAGGCAGGGAGAGAGAAGGAGGCTAGTCTAGGTGAGAGTAGGAAACTCTAAATGTACACTGTACAAAGGATGTTGAGTATGAAGCAGCCAGGAAGGAGAAAAAGAGGAAGAGTGCAGGTGAAGCTGGTGGCAAACGATCCACTGTGATGACCCCTATAAAGGGAGCAGCTGAAAACGTAGCAGCACTTTGTAGATTTATGGGTACTGAACTACAGAAGGTTGAACATATAGTCACAATAATTTTAGTGCTGTCTAAATCTATTATGAGCCAGATGATCGTGGTTACAGTTTTACCCGATACTGCTTTATTTCTCATTGTTTTTATCAGCTTTGTGCCAGTAATAATGTCTCATTATAAAAAGTTTCAGAAACGGTTTGAATTTTTTCAGCCAAGATTAGACAGCACCAAATCAGTATTACACAGCTAATAAATATTAGTTACAGATATATGTAAATGTAATCTCATTTACTGATAGACTCACAGCAGTCAGTTGGCTGGTATTAGCCTATACTGATCCGCTCTTAATTGAGACCACCCTTAAAGCTTATAAGCAAAGGTGGGAGAAAATATCAAAGTACTTCCTCTTGTTATACATTTTCACTATGCTGGATGGATTCGTACATACATATTGATATCAAAACATGCTGCCCTTTAACTGGATTTTCCTGCCAGTTTGGTCATGACTTCTTGTAGCAGTAATTTCAGTAAATTGCAATAAAAAGGAAAAGTGGACAGCAAATTATAGAAATTAAGTGAACCAACACACTAATACACACACACACACCAGTGCAATGAAAAATAGAATTAATTCCTTTGTCAAAAGTAATTTCTATTGAATTAATAGTCACAGGATGTCTTTGATTAGGTGGCTGCCCCGAGGTTTATTGACCCTTCACAGATGAACAATCTCATGTAGAGCTTATAAAAAAAAAAAAAAGAAATATTGTTGATTTACTATATGTGAGTGTCCTTTTCAAATAATGACTACCGGGGTCATTAGGATACTTGTACCTTATGACTTGCTTAGACAGTAGTTTACATTTATCCCTAACCCTTTCATCAGCAGGCCATTAAAATACACGTTTGCCTTTTAGTACAGACTCGAGGCTTTACATTTAGACACATTTTTAAACTAAAAGTATCTTAAAGAAACAAAAAAAAGAGAGTAAATAATCAGCTATTATTGAATGTGTACTTTCTTCCATCAGGTGTCCTGGAGTCTTCCTCACAAACAGGCAGCCTCTGGAACATATCAGGTCAAATTCTTCGATGAGGAGTCCTACAGTGCCCTGCGCAAGGTTAGTGTATTATGTGTTGTTGATCAGCTTACAGTTTCCTTTGCTTCAGCTCCACTTGTTTTGAAATGAGTCGTCTTTATAATCAAATATGCTTTCATTTCAATTAAATCTGTAAATCTCATTTGCTCCAGGCCCAGAGAAACAATGAAGACGTAAATGCCATTCACCCTCTCTTCTCTGTCAACATTGACCACAGGGTGAGTTTCTTCTAGGATCTCAGACTGAACACATCACTTGAGTCATGATCCTGCTATCTTGTAAATTAAAAGCCAGTAAACGCCCTTAAATTGTATCAGCTTTAGTGAGCTTACATCAAGTATCACTTAACTTCCCGGCATGTTTGAAAGGTCTCCAGTGAATGAATAAACCCAGAGAGATTATCGCCTGACTGCAGGCCTTACAGGCCTCTATTTTGCAGAGTAGTCATATTGTTTCCTTAAGAATTAGTGAAGCTTAAAGAAGAGCAAATGGCAAGTGAACTTTGGACTTAAGTACACATGATTACCAGAAATTTGACATGATAGTGTGCAGGTAACCCTCTAACTTTATTTACCTCCCACTCATGCATCATACCGTCATACAATCAACAGGATGTTACGCTCTCATTAGCAGTGGCTTAAATTGCTCTCTTTAGAGTTGCAAAAAGTTTGACTCAGGGGTCCGCCAATTTCACGTTGCCAGCATTTTTTTGCCCCTCGTTGCTTGACGTTACCAAATGTCACTGACTTGCTGCGGTCTCTTTGCTGTTTCCTGTGCGGATGCATCTAAGGGGCCAGTGTCTGATTTATGGTTGGAATCTCTGCATTCATTCAAAACAACAAACTCATGTAAACATGAAACTCCAGTTCCACCTTTAGCTTTGTGTGATTCTCATTTAAAAATAATCCTTATCTGTCTCTTATTGGCATTTGTGCAGCCCCACAGGCCGTTCACTCTGAAACTCTCCATTTAAAACCATAAAACTACTATTTAAGCCAACTTTCTTCTGATTGGCTGTCCCTCATTTGCCTTATTTGCTCTTGTCCTTAAACCTGTTTCCTTTCCCCCCGCCGCTCCCTACAGGGTGCATGGAATGGCCCATGGGTGTCTACTGAAGTGGTTGCTGCCCTCATTGGTATCCTGGTCTACTACTTGGCTTTCAGCGCAAAGAGCACCATCCAAGCATAAACTGATCCAAAACAGCTTTTTAAATACTGGATCATTAAAGACTGATTTCTGATGGGGCTCGACCAATTATCCATCATCCAGTGTTGAGACAAACCAACAGGATTTTGCCACTTGATCTGCTTTGGGGCAAGGAGCAGAAGTAGCAGTCTTTGTATTTTTTTATTCAGACTGTGTCTCTTATGTGCTTTTGAGTCTTTAAAGATGAATTTTGACACACGATTGACTCTCGGTATGGGTGGAGTTTTGTAACAATGGTTTCTTCTTTTGGAAACAACAGATCAATAAACCTGGACTTTACAAATAAAGAAATCACATAGAGCTCATGCATTGTATTGGGTCCCGCTTAAACAGTGGAACATCCTGACCAGATTGTGCTGCAAAGGTCAAAGCTTCCATGCAAATGAAATGTCAATAATGTGGCTGCGCAGACTGGCCTGAACAGGTCGAGTGGATGTGTCTCCTCCAGGAAAGTGAATAAATGACTTTTATTTTATTGGTTGTAGTAAAGCGAAAATCTATAAATTCCTTTTTCTCTAGACAGATGGGAAGGTCTGTTATTTCACAGCAACACGTCATCTACAGTGCTGCTTTTTGTTTTCCAGTCTTGAACTAGCTGCAACTAGTCACCTGAACTCAAGTAACAACCAGCTTCAAGCAGATTTATCTTTCACATGCTGAAGTAGTTGAATTGTATCCCATCTATGGGTGGCCAAGTCGCATGAAAATGTCTCCGCCTTTCCCAACTCCCATGCAGCCCCAAAAACAGCATATTTAAATCTGCCTGTTAACGTGTTTACTTTGCAACACGTACAAAGCTACAGGAATTCAAGACGGCCTTGGGGTGAGGGAAAAATAAATCTATCTCAAGGAACACGAGCAGGATAAACCTACCCAAAATTAACAAACCAAAATATCTGTGGAGTTGGCAGAAAAAAAGAAAACCACATGTCAGTGTGGTTTTTCTGCTGTAGTCAGACAGACTTGGTTGGAGGATGAGTAAATCCTTTGTGACAGTAACCATCTTGGCCGTTGCAGTCCACTTAAAATCTCTCTTGATAATCTAAGCATTTATGTTCATAAATCCGGTTACGATAAAAAAGTTTTAAGGCTTTGTGCGTAGTAAATATCATTTGTGCGAGCTTGCAAACTCTTGAAAAACAATTCCTTTTTTTTCTGTAAACATGTTCAGCTTGGAGGCTGTGGCTGAACTCTCAGTGGACATGATGGCTATTTTTGTCAGCGCAAGAGAGGCAGCGCTGTCCCACTGGTATTCCTCGATATTCACGGAGAGCAGTGCATTAAACAAGGCAGCACGTCAGCAGCTTGTGTCCTGTCACATTTTCTCATAACGGGGACACACACATGCACACATGCCAAAAAAAAGAAAAATCTGTTACAGATGTTAATTCTGTGAGCAGGGAGTGCGGTAGCTTGCATTTCCTTTCTAAATTCCTGTAGTGCATTGCCACTGGTTGAGCACACTGTGGCAGCTGTGTGCTGATGATGGAGACTCGAGGCTGATGCCAGCTTCAACTTTACAGGCAGATTGGATGTGATTTTTACTGGTTATGGTTTACTAATGTTATTATTATGTTGCCTTATGAACTCCATGCCCTCCTTCTGCATCCAGTTTATGACATAGAGGTGCTCAGGGGAAAGTCATGCTGATGTGATCTAGTTTATTACAGAGACTTAAACTTAGCTTATCTATTTCTGTCTGTGCCCCAAATAAGGTTTAGCAAAGACTCTTCACTCCACAGAAAAACAATTTAGCATCAACAAAAACAGCACAACTGCAGCCTCTCACTTAGATCCTATAGAGTTAATGTATACTGCGAGTAAAGTGATCTGCTCACATAAATACTGCACAGTGTAGAGAACACAAGGAGTTTCTCAGGTGACCGCTTCTCTGCTGCTTTGTCATCACACATTCACACTTGTGGTTTAAGTGCTTTCGTCTTCTGGCACCTTGACAAGGAGAGAAGAAAGCCATCGCAGTGTTGTTAATTTAGAATAGACAGGGGCTGGAAGGAATCCAGATGTTGCCTCACAGAGTCACCTATTGGACTGTGGGAAGTCGCGGACAGCTGGATGGAGAGATATAAATGGAACGGACAAATAAACACTCAATGGAGGCCAGCGAGTCGATGCTAACACAAAAACTCCTGCTTCTCTTTGTTGTGTGATGGAGTTCAAAGTGCGTAACTCCAGCCAGCACATTAGTGGCCATGACTGCCGATGTGGAATGAAATGTTTAGAGATAAATGTTGTCCTTTTAGAAGGAATGATCCGACAGGAAGTCACAGTTTATTCTGTCAATGGCAAATTATTGTCCTATATCTTTGGTTTGTTTTTTCCCCATTTAAGAAAGTAATTTACAAGGTTGTGTAAACAATTCAGTCCCATTTCTATTTATATGATTACATAACCCAAGCTTTTAGTCTTGATTATCAGTGCAAAACATCATTTCTTCTTAAACGTCTCTCATATATAGCCTTTTATCAAAAGTTTATCTTTATTATTCTTACACGAGACAAAACATTTGCTGTGAAATAAGGATAACTGCAGAGGAATTTGTGTGTGTGTGTGTGTGTGTGTGTGTGTGTGTGTGTGTGTGTGTGTGTGCGCGCGCTCAGAGGTGTGTAAAGCACACCGGCTCAGGCCACAGACCTCGATGGGCTTAGCGGGATTCAGCAATGTGGAAACTGGCATTGCACAAATAATTTTCACATGAAGTCAGGCTTTTCTGTCTGTTCCATAGGCATCGTTTTTCCTGCTCGTTCCTCACACTTTTCGCAAAGCAGAAGAAAGTCAACAAAGTGTGGGGCTAACTCAGTAATCACAAAGCAGACTGTATCTTTTTACACTGGCTTCCCCTTCCTTCACTACAATAACAGTTCATGCTCTGGTTACTTCATGGTTTTGTTCGTACAGAGGAGGGTGTTATATGTACAGTTGCTCCAGCCCAAACAGCTTGACAGTGTTTGGGGTTACCATAACTCACTGTAGCTTCCAAACCTCTGCACTTATTTTCTCTGCATCTCATTCTTCTTGTCCTATTTGGGCATCCTCTCATCTGCTTTGCATGACAATGCAGTTTGCAGTAAAAAAAAGAACCATGTAAGGGAGGAAATTCCTTTCACTCCTTTTCCACAACATATTAAACATCCCATCCACATGTCACATCAAAAGGACAATATCTGGTGTACAGCTTTTGTTTGTGTTTGCATATTGGCTTGCGTGTGTCTGCGTGTGTGCATGCACTTCTTGCAGCTGGCCCAGAACTATTAAATGGGTGAAGACCAATGTTCCCTCTAAGCTGCGTGCGGGCGCAATTGCGCACTGCTGCCACGGTCTCTGCGCACAGAAAATCTAACCTGAATTGAAATTAAAATTAAAACTTTAACAATTCTGTTTTGCAGTGTTAGTCAGTAAGTGACTGGCTGCTCCCGTATGGGATTAGAACGATGCCACCTTATCCCATAGTCCAGCCAATAACGCGATTCACATTCGTATATACGCAGCTAATCAACGTCGTTGACAGGCTATGACAGCGTCCTTATGTGCCGACACCGGTGTTTTAGCGAGCCAAGCGGCGTGGCTGATGTGGAGTGAAGCCACGGTCATGACAACTTGGACAACCATTGGAGATGTGAGCAGGACAGACGGAACAATTGACGGAAAAAGTGTGGACTTTATACCAGTTTTTGAAATTGTGTTGATCGGCCACGTAAAACCAGAGTTATGATAAAAAATATATAATGTTTGGTTTTCTTCCTGAATACTGTCGTTGTTTATATTTACTGCGGGAAGAAACGGTAAAAACTGAGTTTTATAAGGAAAACGCTCCAAAGCACTCTCCACCTGTGAGCAAAACCAAAACCCCCCACCCTTTCCTATTGGTCAAAAAATGTACCATGTCGACCAATCAAAAAATGATATAGGTGTTTTGAGATGTGAGAGATTTGCAACGTTTAGCGCAAATCTTGTGTAGTTAGTGTGTAGTGTAGTCAATAGTTTTGTTGTGTGTGTCAGAACAATGCTGTAATTATATATTCTTGATTTGAATACTGGCTTGTGTGAAATCCCAGAAATAAACCCCAGACAAAGCGATTCTGTGAACTAAGGTGCAGGTCTATTAGGTTATGCTGTGGTGATCCTCGGGTTGGGGGATGGGTGTTCATACTGGAGTGCAAAATTAAAACCAATGGAAGATGGACAAGAAAAGTTCAAAGCCATCAGGTGCTCAGTTTAGAAAAAAAGAGGGAGTGTGGCACTGCCTGCAGGTATCAGGCTGTTGTTCTTCTTTATCTCATAGTGGACAGAAATTATTTTTTGGAGTGGCACAAATAATTTGTGTGGCATCAGATTTGATGCAGAACAGCTGATTGTTCTGTAAATAGTTTGAAATACTTATTTTTAAAAAACACCTTGGCTGCATTTTTAGGTAAACAGCTGCAAAAAACTTTGTTTTTTGCATAGCTCAGTTACTTTTTTGAAGAAGTAACTATATAATTAATTGCCCAACATTGGTCATTATATCCTGTATTTTGCAGACAGAGTTACAGACTCTCTCCCAGACCACAGACTCAGAATACAAGTCAGAGCTTTATACAAATAGAAAAAAGAAAGTTGTGTTTTCAAAATTGGAGTTCAAGTTATTTTTACTTCCAATAGTGTTTACATACTACACAGGTAATGAACAAGATTATTTGTAAGTGGGCTAAAGCAGTTAATTAAAAGTAGTCTAACATAAATGTAAATGCTGTAATTTGATTATTTTTAATAAACCGTGTAACTTCAATGCTGGCGTGACCACAGTGCGCACGTCTGATGTCGCTCACAGTGGTCCAAGGGGCCGCTCAGGGAGTTTGTGTGTTCGCTCAGACACATGAAAAATTAGAGGGAACATTGGTGAAGACACATAACAACAAATCATATCTAAGTGCATAAATGTCGTGGAAGCGTGTTGAACAAGCTCCTGTAAAATATTTGTAGATGCCATTTTATCAGACACCATGCACATGCCTGTTTGTACTATTAAGAAAGCAATGTTGCAGGTGAGGTGTGCGCACAACCGTGCTTAAAGTAATGAAAACAAGATGGCTGAAAGCGATAAAAAAAAAAGCTAACCTTGATCCCTCTGGCTCTCGGAGAAAGAACGTCTTTTAAATCAGTAAACACTTACAGACTAAGGAATCATAATTGCTGCCAATAGAATAAAAGTGTGGCTATATTTAGCAAACAAAGAAAAAATGCCCTTGGAAAAAGCCGCATTTAACTGCCCCCTTCTCTGTAAGCTGAAACAGTAAATGCAGATAAATTTTATGTGGAAAACAAAACAAACTCCACCAAATAGTTTACCATCTGTTTTAAGGCTAAGAGCATATAAACATCCTCTTGGTGTTAAAACATTTAAGATAGAGAAAAAGAGCAAAATGAAACCCTTTTGTGAGAAGACAAGATAAATTGGGGAGCCTGTTTCTCTTGCTTCCTCTGATAATAAAGTATGATGCTCTTTCCTAACGCAGACACAGGAGTCGATCTGGGCCAGTTGGGCCTCCTGGTGTCTTGGAATGAGCCTCGGCCATCATTAGGTCTGCAGAGGGGTCTTGGGTTAAGCAATGCAGACGCATTGCTCAGTATGGTAAAAGTCCTGGCTCCAGGTCTGATTTATACCGGCTGTGGTGAAGGCTGGGGGTCTCAGTCATTCTTCAGAGCCACTGGTTGCACTCCTTGGCTGAATTTAAATTGATTTGAAGACGGAACTTGCCCTGTTTTCCTGCCCTTGTGACAGGCTCCCTGAGGGATAATTTATTTCTTTTATACCCCATTGCAGCCACACGGCTGGAAGGAAGTGCTGCCCTAACTGTAATGAAGAAGTGACCTTGAGTTTAGCCGTCACCCATGCTTCTGCATGGAAACCGTGAGCATTAGGGCATTCAGCATAAATATACACACACACACACTGCAAGATTATAAAAACAGCAGTGACCTACCAGTTAGACCATCTATCATATGCTCTGACAAGAGAGAGATGGTGGTGGCTGTTTCAGTGAAAAATAGGAAATGCCAAGTCTTTTATAGGACTACTCAGGAAACTAAACTGACTCTATAGGAAATTCTGTCTGATGATGGGTCTATTTTTAGGGGATATTTAAAGGTGTTCGTGCTATCTGCTTCTCAGTCAGTTGAAGTGCATTTATTATTTAGCCGTTTTAATGCTCACTAATGGCTGTACAGAAAGCACAATGCACAGCTGAGGAGTGTTCGGCCTCTCCCATCAATCTGAAAGGCTGGATGAAACTGAGGTTTGGCTCTTTGCGTGGAGAAGAATCATCCTCTGACCTCTCAACTTCCTGCTTGGGAGAGAGAAAAATACATGAACACCCTGAAGGTTTGGGAGAAGTTCATCTATTTCCTGATATAACAAAGTGAGACACGGGACATTGTTGCTGCAGAGTTTCATTTGGCTGATAATCAAAGCAGAGGCCTGTGTCTGGGGAACAAGTTTGCAGTGGCGTGCTGTAAACCCAAACACCACGGCCACGCAGAGGAAAAGGTGAGGCTTCTCCTTCGACCCAGACAAGTACTCTTGAGATACCTTGAAAGCATGCCGGTATTGTCCTGCAGACTCGAACAACACTGTTCTCTCACGAAAAAGAAAGATGCACCAAAGTGTCTCACTGTGAGTGCACATCATTAAAAAAAAAGATTATTTTCAACAGCATCTAATGGATAGACTGATCAAATACACACAATGTTATCACATTTCCTGTATGTACAGTAGCTTATATAATTATGCTATTGTAAAAACATACCATTAGAATATTTAAGTGTGTCATGCAGCTGAGGGCCATAATACTTTACTCTGTGCACAGAATAAAATGCAATATTATAAAAACTGTACCTGGAAGGCAGAAACAGGGAATAATACACCTATATACTATCTAAGTATACATTAAATATATATATATTTGTGTGTACATTTTCATTTACACAACAATAAATAAATAAAGAGATTAAAGAACACATGGCTCATGGTGTGATATAACATATCCTATGATCCCTGCTCTGGAGGTATGCTCTGTCTAAAAATAACTTGGCTGACATCATTTACAGATTAATCCAGTGAGGGAGGCCCCCTCTAAAAATGTCTACTGACATTACAGGCACTTGGTTTGGACTTGGAGTATTTGCAATATTCATGTGAAGCGTTTTCTTAAATAGTAATTGTTTCTAGATGTACGCTAACATGTAGGTTGGAATATGTCTACTGATAAGACTTTAAAGTCGAGCTTTTAAAAAACAATCTTTGGTTTGACACCGCTTGTTTTCTTTCTTCCTTCTTTTTTAGCTACACTGTACCTCAGACCATTGCAACATTCAGCTTTTATCTAGCACAAAATGTAACATTCTCTTCAATAAATATACTTTACAACGTTGATCACGATACACGGAATGCTGATAAATACTTCTCATGAGTTTCTTCTGTGCTGTGTTCTCGTTTCATACTTTCAGAAAAGCATGACGGGAAGGTTCTTTTATGTGCCTCATATGGCGTGTTTGTATAAAATACAGTCACATAATTGTGTCCCAGTTGAGCAAGGAAAACCAGGTTTATTTTGTTGTGCGGTGCTTTCCTTCTGCTGCACCGTCCTCAGGAGTGAATCTTAAGCCCATCTTGCTAACAAATCACTATTGTTGGAACCTGGAAGTGAATTCCTTCTTTGCCTCAAGCATCCGTCTCTAATCCTTTCTTTCTTTCTGTGGAATAACAAAGTTTGATCACGTTATTAGATTTCAACTACAGTCCTCCTGGGACCACTGCTGTAACATCCATGACATCCCCTGTCTGTTCTCCTGCAGTCTTATTCTCGTGTACTGTCTGCATGTGCTTCTTTTCTCTTCCCTCCAGCTTGGTTTTCTCTGCACCCATAGTTTTGTCTGCTGCTTTATACATTAGGCGTTCCATTAATGTAGCAATCCACCCCTTGCATTCCTGCTGCTCTACTGTATCCGAGCAGAGTAAGAGACTGTCCACAGTTCTGTTCAACAGCTACTGAGGTGAAAATGTTCTCACCTTCCAGTCCATTTCACCCCACAGATCCACCGAAACACTGTGTTATGAATGGTGCTGACATCTTCAGTGACAGCCGTCCTTACTGCTGGGGCGAGTAAGACAGGTGATTACAAATAGAAGTCCTGGTGAGAAGACAGCTGTCCTTTGATGCTGAAAACATCTGGTGGAGGTCGTCACAGTGCGTTCTCAGGCTGCGGCGCTGGAGGCGGTGACATCAGCAGAGTTGTGTGCAAAAGTACGTCCTTGCAGTGGGCGCGTGTGCACGCATGCATGCCTTTTGAGCATGTCTCTGTGTGTCTCGCTCTCCAGCTCATCAGTCTTTGTCAGTACAGGCTGTCCTTGGTGGTGGAGGTGTGTGTGGTGGTAGAGTCGTCAGGCAGGGAGCCCCGTCGTCCAGATCTTGACCCACAGTGGAGCAGATTTTGCAGCTCTCTTGACACGCTGCTGGAGAAAGCCGTGTAGATCCATGGGTTGGTGCACGAGTTCAGACTGGCCAGCAGCATCAGGATAGTGAAGGCCACTCCTGCAGAGGACACACACCGCCAAAAAGACAAGTCCAAAAATACATTTTCAAATGTACAACCTTTACGTTGGAAGGAAACATTCCTGTTAAAATGAGGACAAACTAAGGACAAATCACAGTGCAAGTCACATTAGTCTCTCACCCCTTAGGAAACAAACATAAAAATGTGCAAATATTTAGCAGCAGAGCACTGTGCATTATTTTGTTTTTATTCTACTTCAAGAATTTGATTATAAATATCCCAGGGGAACAACTCCACACATACTTCCTCCTTCATATTTTTCATTTCTAATAACAAGTCTATTGTGCATTAGGCAAAACACACTGAGAGCAGCTGAGAACAATGAATGAGACCGTTCTGATTTTAGAATAAAGCTGACAATAATCAGCTGAGTGTGGGGCTGTCTGCCAATCGGGGCTTTTATTTCATGAGAGTATGCTAATCATGCTTGTAGCTGCATGTGAGTACACTTTGTGTATGCATCTGTGCTCGTGTGTGTGCGTTTGTATTTGCGCTTGTTCCATGTGTTGCTTATGATTTTAACTATGCATGCCAGCTGCTGGCACAGATCAATGTTGATGAAATGTCAGCATCTGGCTCTGTTTCAGACTCTACGGGGGACATAAACAGGTTATTTACTGGCCTCTGGTGTTTGTCTTTAGTTTCAGCTCAGGAAAAAACAAACTTGTTTGTGACCTTGTATTATATTCTCTGTTGAGAGCTGGAGCTTGTACTTAGAATAATGAGTTAGATAGCCTAATATTTGGACCCACCAAGATGCTCAAAAGCATTGATTGGAGTTTTCTGTTAAAAATAGGAGCTTTTCAATTAGCTTTATGCTCTCTAAAGTGCAAAACAGGTAAATTAGCTCCATTAGGGCGATTAAATAGATTACATGAGCTAAGGAGAATCAATCCATCTGGGGTAAACAACATAAATGATTCACCTGACCGCACAGATGTTGCTTTCATTTCTTTTATGGGGTAGATTGGAAACATAAGTGGATGTTGCATCCATTAAGATGTTTATGACTAACCTTGGTCTGGAGGGTCTGGATCCCAGGCTGCCCACAGCTGGACAATGAAGAAAGGTGACCAGCAGATAGTATACACCAGCACAATGACCAGGGTCATCCTCACCGTCTTTGACATGGCTTTAGTGATACTTGGAGGTGGGGTGGCAGGGCGGTGAGGGGGAGCATAATCAAGGGAGCAGCGGGGAGAGTTGGTGTAGGGCTCCTGGCAATCTGAGCCGTTCACTGTTTGCTGATGCACTGTTGTTCTTGTTGTTGTCACATGTTCCCCGTGGCAACTGTTACACTGAATATCAGGTGGTACATAGTCATAACATTCTCCCACTTGGCTGTTGGGTGTGTTATTGTGGGGGTTGTTATTTGCAACCTTTAAGAGTTGTCCTCCTCTTCCGTCCCAGCCTCCTCCTCCAGACGCCCGTCTCCCCCTCTCTCTGGATCGCTCGTCCTCCTTCCTAAAGCTGTGAAAGCGGAAGAGGATTTCGTTTTTCTTCATCTCAGCCATCACCATCCTCTCTGACTTCAGGTAGATGTTGTTGTGAATCTCGCGGAAGATTCTTATCTGAAATTCATATAAGAACATTTTGAGAAATTACAACAGCTCAGTGAGAGGGAAAACTAGACATGCCATCATTCACGACCTAAAAGGCCCGAGGATTACGTTTTATCATGGGAACGTGGCAAATTCAGATGCTTGTGTTTGCTGCAGACTGTCCTGTTTGCAGTTTAGGTCAACACTGAACGGAAATTTGAAATGTAAAAAAAAGAGAGTATTTGTTGGCCTTAACCATCGGCCATAAACCAGTGTCAGACATTTTTATGTAACATTATTTAACGCCACGATTCCTTCGCTCTGTTACATAGCTACCATAAAACTTTATTGCACCAAAATGATTTGTGGTATTCTCCGGAGAAACCAAAACAACGACATGAAATCCATTACTAATAGGCGATTCATCCTTCCAACTATTTTTACTTTGATTCTGAAGGTTTGTTACAACTGAAGCTACACATTAATCCATCTTTCCATTCAGTTTATGGGATTTGATCGGGCGAGACACTTGAAACTTTCCAAATTACCTCCTTCAGCAGAAATAACATCATTCTCTCTTCCAGAAACGTTCTAAATAACCCTCTGGATTTGAAATCTGATATTCAAAATAGTGGGAAAAAGGTCCAGAATTCTATGTTTGGCACAGATCTGGTACATTCCTCTCCCTGGCAGGACGTTTTCAGACTGGGCAGGCATCTCGGCAGTAGACCTCCAAGTGCTGTGTTAATTAGGGGAAAAAGCTGGAACCTAGAAATATCTTTCCCTAAATAGATCAGGACTGATGGGAGGCACCCCAGAATGTCATATCTGCCTGGGGATGCGACATAACACCAACCACAGTCTCCACAGGTTATTGAACAATGCGTGCCAAATACACTCTTGAAACCAAAACAGCATTTCATTCATGCCACAAGCCTCATTACTGGATAATGTTGCTCTGAGCATGTAATCCTATAGTCAACACCCTTTGTGGACAGTGCAGAGTTCAGCCAGTACAACTAGAATTACCTGACAGATGGTGATGATGAGGGCGGGCAGGAGGAAGACAGTTACCGTCATCCAGGTGACGTAGGCTTTCAGCCCCCACAGCTCAGCAAAGTGACCCCAGCACTCGAACTCACCGGGAGCCACTTCTGAGCGAGAGAAGATGAACACCTGACAGAAACAACAAGGGAAAAGTGGTCAGCACACCCACAGACACTGATAATCTGCAGTGATCTCTTGAAGCTAAAAATAGACAAACATCTTGAGTTCTCCTGTGGAAATCAAGCTGCCTGTGTGTTCACCCCTTCCTACCTGCGGTATGCTGAGGATCAGTGCCAGGCCCCAGGCCACCATGACAGGAGTGTTCCAGCGGGACACTGTGCCCCCTCGGTAGGCCTGCAACGGGCAGCAGATGGCATGGTGCCGGTCTACTGTCATGGCAACTATCATATAGGAGGAAGCAAACATGCCAACAATCTGCAAGTACTTGATGGACCGGCATAGCAAATCCGGCCCTTGAAACCTCTCTGTAATGTCCCATATTAGCTGAGGAAGAACCTGAACACACAGATAAAAAGTAGTTATTTTTAAAATAAGTGTTTCTAATATATTCAGCGTGTCAACAAGAAGTGCCTGTGCAGCCCAAACCCAATTTAGCACTTTGTCCGAGACTGTTATCTGAAAACTGCTTGAGCACATCAGTAAGCCACACCATGGCACTTAATGACATGTTCTTTACTATCCATGACAAGGGCACTGGGCAAGCCTGTTTTTTCATTTGTTTGTTTTTACCTCAAAAAACACCAAAGATATGGTCATCTACATACGAAAGTAGTTCTAAAACAAAAAATCATTTATCCTGTTTGAATGATGTTTATAATTGCATTGCACAGCTGGACTGGGAAAAGCTGATCTTTTATATACATATATATATTTGACTGCCATTTTAAGAAATTTGTGCAGCTGAGTCACCGAGAAGCCAACTGGGTAGGAAAGCAGCAGAGACTTCAGAAAGAAATACAGATGCATTTCATTACTGTGAAAAGCCCTGACAGAGCCCTCACTCACTGCAGTGGGTTTTTTAAAGCATCTGAAAACAGACATTAAAGTACACTATAAGGCAGACAGTTTGTACAGTTATTACAAGTTTGAAAGTCAATATTTGGTATGACCAACTTTATTCTTCAACACAGACTGAGCTCTCTTAGTGAAACTTTCTTGTAATTTCTTTAAGTAGTCTACAGGAATAGTTCTCCAGGCTCCAGGATAGTTTCTCATTGGCTGTTTTTCTACCTACGTATGCACTGACAGTGTGCTTCCATGGCGGTATTGAAAAAAATCTGATGGTACTTTTCTGTGTTCATAATTCCATCAATTATGACAAGATCTCCACAAAAGCTCCGACATGTTGTTCAGATGGCTGCAGACACTCGCTGTTGTGCTTCTCTCCTGACCTCCTCCTACAGTACATATTGACATTTTGAACTAAAAATTTAAATTATGGATTTGTCCTTCATTCGTCCTGTTGCCACTGATTTTCGGTTCAGTTCTTGTGTAGTTTGGCACACACCAGCCTTTTCTTTCTGTTTCCCTTCCTTAAGAATAACTTCCACTGAGACCATCTCTGATTAGGCTTTGGCAGTATAGTATATGAATCAACTGAAGGGCCAGATGCCTTTATCGTTGTGGGGGTATAGCTTAGTGGTAGAGCATTTGATTGCAGCTCAAGAGGTCTCTGGTTCAATTCCAGATACTCCCTGTGGAAGCTTAAAAAGCCTTTCTTAAAATTGGCTTCTTCACAGCCAGCTTTCCACCGAGATCTTTTTAACAAACAGTAAAAGGCTCATTTGAAGGCTCAGATGCACGTGTCGTCTTTGCTGTTTTGTTTTTTCTTATTTCTTAAGGACACAACTTTGAGATGTTGTTCATCTGCTATTGACTGTTTTTATTTTTTTAGGCCTACCTTTTCATCTTTATCTTCCAGACCTTAATTCTTTTTTACGTTTTATTTTAAGTTCATTTATTAAACACTTTTCACGGACAAGCAGCCTGTGAAATGGAGCGAGACAAAGATTTCACATGCGAGAGCAGTTGGGCAGAAGGAGGCAAGAACCTGACTGATTTTAAAATGTAATTCAGCAGGAGCTATAATTATGGTCTCAGTCTTGTTAGCATTTAAAACAAGGTAATTACTAGAGAGCCAGTCAGTATTCTTTCTGAGTTAAGCTGTGGACTAGGGTGGACAACCTATCAAGCTGAATGTCATCAGCATAGAAATGATAAAAAAATGTAATTAAAAAATTGAATAATGGCAGCTAGAGGAAGCATGCAGAAAAAAAAATGGACCCAAAATCCCTTTTTAACCCCACAGGTTAGGGAGGAAATGTTAGAGGTGAACTTGTTTGTTCTAACAGAGAGGGTCCTATCAGAAAAGTAAGAAGTAAATAAGTCTAAAGCACAGCCAAATTCACCAGCCAAAACATGAAGCCTATAAAGCAGGATTTTTATGGTCAATGGTATCAAAGGCTTCACTGAAATCAGGCAAAAATGATTACAGAACAATTCCTCCATCAGAGGCCTTCAACAGCATGGTCTCAGTGGAACGCTACTTTTGAGAGCAAGACTGTAAAGGGTTAAAAATCTAAAATTTGCATAGTAAAGATCTGAACTTATTTTCTGCTGTTTTTTCTAATATTTGCTTATAAATAGTCTTTTTTTTTTTTTTTAAATTTTTAATTACCACATTCCTTTGAAAAAGGTCAGGTACAAGGACTGGACTGAAATAACTGAAAAAACCTCCAACGGCCAAAGAAATGCTGGATAACTATTGCTCATGACCACTTTAAAAATTACAGGAAAGTTTGAAGGTCTGGAGGCAAAGTAAAAAAGAAATGCACAGTATTTATATTATAGGTATTTTTGTGGAACAGTGTATACAGCTGTAACAGATCCAGACAGTATATAACTCACAATTACATAGTTTAACACAGTTAAGTGAAAAAGAAATTCCCATGGAAGATAAAAATCAATATTAAGATGAGCAAGTTTTCATTGTGACAAAAATTGTTGGTAAAGATGAAATATTTAGACTTGAATAAAGACTCAAAAAGAAATAAACATGTTTTACTTATGGCAAAAACAAAACAGGCCTTTAACAAACTGAGACCATTTTGTAAATGTTTGTTTCATCCACTGCTGTGATCTATGTATATTCATGTTGCTATAATGCCTCAAAGAAACCCCTGTACTGACCTGAAAGAAAGCCACCACCAGGTCAGCCACACACAGGTTGACCATGAATATGTGCATCGGCGCGTTGTGCTTCCTCCGCCTCAGAAGCACCCACAACACAAAGCTGTTCCCCAAGGTGGTAAGAGCCAGCACCACCGCAAGCACTGCAATCTCAGCCCGGGCCAAGCCGATATCCCTCACCCTGGGCTGGGGAAGGGTGCGAGGTGTGCTATTGGAGCCATTCTCGGGAAAGATGCCAAAGAAGGATCCCCCACTGTGAGACGTGTTGAATGAGTTCAGTTCAGAAATAAACGAGGAAGAGAAGTTGTTTCTTCCTGTGGGGCCCAGAGCGGAGAGGCCTAACCTATCCCAGTCCGTTTCCAAACTGATGCTTTCCATTCCTGGAAGACAAACAAAGTGTTAATTTGGGAAAGCCAATAAAATCTATTGTTTATAGTTTGTATAAATGATGCTCTGCACAAACACAGTCTGCAGGAGTCAATCTGCTGCAGGGCTGTATGACTGTCCACTAGTGGATTTTGGCCAAGTCCAGATTATTATCAACAGACAATGAAATTGCACTGAATTATTACATCTGTGCATCTTATTGCATTTCCTGCAGTTGCCTAAAAATGCACTGTTCCTTACAGTACTGCTGAGAATCCAAAGCAAAACACACACAGACTTCTCACATAAGCTGATGCAGATATAAATCACAGGAACTCTTTGTTGTTGGATCATCAGTAACAGTTTCACATCATGTACCACAAATAGCTCCTGTTGGGTAACCTCATCACATTCAACTCAAAGTAATGAGAGCCAGACACTCTGCCAATCATGCAAGTGTAATTATGTCTCAGATTTTAATAATTCTCCTGTCTGTTTGTCCCTCTCCCAAAGCTTCCCATTCGATCTGACGCAAGTCCAGTTTGGTTTATTTTCTTTCTAATTCTTTCTCAAGGTTGATTTGACAGCTTTGCCTCCTATCCCACCACCCTTATTCCTTCACATCCCCTCTCATAATCATTCTCATCCCATGCTTACCCTTGTACATTCCTGTTTCCCCCTGTTTTTGTTCCCCTCTCTCCAGATTTTCTCTCATGCATCCAGGCGTTCTTTTCTCTTCTCTCTCTCTCCCAATCTAAATTAATTTTACGTTTATTTTTCTTTGCTTATAAATAAATGGCTGAAAAGAACAGAAAGTTGATAGGAATTAGATGACAATTTAAGAAACAGAGTCATGGGATGTAGAGGGCAGCCTTGGTCAAATAAACTGCATGTAGAGTAGCGTCTGAGAAGGGGGGTGGGGGGGAAGAGTAGCGATACAGGCGGTGAGGAGAAAGGAGAAAAAACTGCCCAGAAAAGGTAAAAGAATTGATTTTTGAGGGAGGGTGATTGGATGAGACTAGAGGAGTGGCAAAACATAGCTCCAAGGAGAGATGTGCACTTTTAGTTATTTCGCTGTGAGTGATGATTGACACCGTGTTGATGTAATATTTTGACTAATATGCTGTGGAGTGGTCGTATATATAAATGTGCCACTGAATGGGTGATAAGAGAGCTTCCATTTCTGCCTGATCAGAAGGAAAACGTGAGAATATTGAGCAATTGAATGTGACTATACATAACAAGGTTGTTCTCACTATTACGCTACTACCTAATGACCAGTTAGTAACAGTGGACGCACTCCTGGGTGTGTAAGGACGGCTGAACATACTGTCAAGCTTTACATGCTGGCTTTGCCAGAGGAATGTAATCAGATGAATGCATGACAGGCCTGGCCTGGTTGACTTCTCTTCCCAGCACAAATGTACAGCTGTGGGTGAAAAGAAGAGTATCTCAGTGGGATCATTCCTCAGAAAACAGAAAACTGCTCTCATGATTTGAGTGAATCCCTGCCGCCACACGAGGCAAACACAAGACTGCCATAAATGTCCAAACTAAATCAATCATTTTCTTTTTTTTATTAACATTCCTCTATATTTAAAGGGTTGTATTAGTGGGAAGGTCGGTAGAGGAGAGGATCAGACGTAGCAATAACAGTTGTTTTTTTCATCTTTGTTAATTAAGGGTGTAGACAACAGGGCCCTTCTTCAGTGAGGAATCTCTGGGCTTCTTTTTGTTGGTTCCGAGGAGCCTTGTGCCCCTCTCTGTAATTACAGTATAATTCATGAGAAGGTTCTTTGTGCGGCTGCACCCCCAACCTAATTTCATTATATATATATTTCCATGTGATTCGTTTTTGATGTTCAGTCTGTTTTCAAGTATGCCTCGGTGCAGATAAGGTGCAATGGAGTTGTTACAATACCTGGAGTAAAGCTTAATTAAAGCTTTACTCCAGGTACTCAAGAAAGTCAAATAAAAGCATTGAAAACTGCTAAGCAGGAGCAGCTGTTAAGGTCCATCTGTCTGTAGATGACCACTGATGAGTACGTGCTGCATTTCTTTCTTCATAGCAGATTTTTATCTTCAAATTTATGACATTGTTCTGAGAAAATCTGAATCCCTTGTTTACCTAAACTCCCGGATAAGAAAATATGCTGAATGCTCATTTGCATTGCATGTGTATCCAAGAAATCTCAGTGAACTGTCTTCCGATTGCTCAAGCTCATCTACAGGAGACCCATGCATAGGCTGAAACCTGTGCCAGGAGTGCTCTCTGTCATATCATGAAATTTCTTAAACTGAAGCTGCACGATGAAGGTAAATAATGTCTGCAGAACATTGCTGGGTGCAGTTTAATATATTCCAAGCAGACCCCATTATTTCCATCTGTCTGACTGACTTAACACAAGTACAAATTATTCTTTGTGTGCTTGATAGACTGTAGACAGTACTTCTAGTAAAGTACGCTTTCTCTCTGATTGATGATGGAGTCTATCCCTCCCTTGCTTTGCTCTCCAGAGGCAAAGCAGAATGCAACCATCCATTTTCATAACCTCTCCGTGCTGTACTGCTGTCATAGGCACGGGGTTCACGCTCACAGAGCCTCAGGGAAGAAAGGAACATGTAGTTAAAGTGCACAAAAACCATTACAGATAGCATCCACTCACATCTTTCAACATCTGTGTCATCATTTCCAATTGTTCACACGTGTTTTGGTCATTCCCTTTCACAAACTACGACATGTTCAACATATGCCAAGATCCAAATACCAGATGTTTGAGACAAAGTATTTTTAAACCATTCTGAGGTGTGTTAAGGAACGAATGTCTTATAAAATCATGTTTTGATGTCAGTATTACAGTGTGTGACAAAATGCTTTTAAAGGAAGTTGAAAAAAACGGTGCTATTGTCCTTTAAGGCAAGACTTCACCCATTAGACACTCTGAAGGAGGTGCTTGTGCACTTGGTGGTTTAATCCAAACATAATGAAAAAGCCATCACCTCTCTGCCTGTCTTGTCAGCCCCTGGATTAGTTTCCTTTGACCAAGTTGACCGAGTCTGATTAATGAGGACCTCTTTGTTCTCATTACCAGCCGCTCAGACGATCTGTGGCTAATTTCTCCTTCTACTCGGTCTTCCTTCTCTTCTACTTTTTCCATCCGTTACCTGTTATTTTCGCTACACTTTCATCCACCCACTCCATTTCTCTGATTCTGATTCCCTCCTAACCATTCCACCACCTGTGATCACAGACAAAAGAGGAAGCCGCTTCTCCTGCAGAGGAAACTGGCTCTGACATGTTTTTTGTTTTTGCTTCATTTTAATCACCGTCCCCATTAATTGACTTTGGCAGCAGGAAACAGGATTAAAAAGGTCTGGCCCAATCTGAATCCAAGTCAACTGAAACTAATAAAGCAAGCATTAGATGACAGCGTGTTATATATTTACCTTTGGTTTTCCGCTGTTTTTCCTCAATGTGATTCATGCACGACACAAATGAATCATGTGGTGTCACAGACCGGGCTGCGTGGCATTTCATCTGCATGATAAGGCAGCCACGGCCACGTTTTTCCCTTTAAGCCCCACAAATCTGAAAATTAGATCCCCGCTTGCACCCTCGCTGCGGCATTGATTCACCTCCTGAATGAGTCGGGTCAATGACAGCTAGATAGTTTGTGTATATTTATGCATTTCAGTTTGTGGAGGAACCTGCTGTACTCATTAAAAATCACATTCACGGTTCTCTATTTGAGTACATGTCACTCAGGTTCGCTCTCCAGCTGCAGCTCATATGAGCAATAATACAAATTATTCTTTTACTGTCTTCAACCCCAAACAGCCAAATAAATGATAGTTATGCAGGGCCACACCTCATTCTACACAGCGATTCAGTCATTGCTTAGATTACAGTCATATTGTATCAGATCAGATCAGGTCAGTAGACAGAACTCATGCAGAAGGTCCAAGTCCTCTTATCGTTACTGATAAACCCCGTTCATTAGACCACTGGCTGTTTTTCTTGTTATGTATCATTAACTAGCACACCACCAACAAGCAAGTGAACCATTCAAAATGGGACCTTTTTTCACATCACATATAGCTGATAAAATATTCAGAGTATTCCCCCTGAAGATTGGAAAGTGGGCTGCAGTGTTACCACATCAGCTAAAACAGGCCTGGAGTTGATTTGGTCAGAGCTGCAGCACATGATGAAATGAACGCAAGTAAATGATTCCCTGTTAGAGACCAAAGTAAATCGACTGTTAAAATAACCGTGATGATGATTTTTTCCTGATGGAGGCTGCAATCAAGGAAGTTATTATTCCTCCATAATAGTTTGTGTGAGGGAGAAAAAAGAAGAAAACTTTGCGATTTATGGTGGAAAAAACCTTTTTCAATGACTTTGGTTGAGACAAAGAGCTTCCACAAAAAACACGTCTGCCAGAAAGCATTATTTGATTTAACTGACAGACAAGAAAGTTTGGCTTTTGTTGTTGTTGTTGTTCATTTTTAAGTATGGGATCTGTTTTTGATTTAACTTAACACAATTTTTGATTATTTCTTCACTGTTAGGAGGAAATTTACCATTGTGATAATAAGTTGTGTCAGGCAATAAATCAATGACACTTGAATATACAGACGTATGCATGCCGTCCACTCACAGCCTGGGAAAACAAATCTTTTGTTTGTCTAAAGCCCTTTGAGTTTCCTTTAAAAAAAAAACATGCGCAGGGCACGCACGTGTGCAAAAAAACACTCACACAAAGAAGAGCAACCCAGTGTGAGAAGTCGTCTCTTACCTTGTTGTCAGTGCATGGTAAGCATTCTCACGCGTGTCCTTTTCTGTTGGCTTTGCTCTTGTCTTTGCGACTGTGGGACAGAGCATTAAAAGCCATCACTGTTACAGCTCATTTACGTTACAGGCAACAACAGATAACATTAACATCGTGACAGTTCCCCCGAGCTTCTGTAATCTGTGGAAAAACTAACAGGACCACATCCATTTTCAATTAAGCTCTGCAATGACTTACATCTAATCAAGCACAATAACATACATGCTTTATGTTGAGAGAAATGACATCCTGAAAGTAGCTCTGGGAAACAATTAGGTTAGAATGATTTATTCACATTTTTTATTTCTGTTATTTAGAAAATTAGCCTAATTTAATTGCGGCGTTCCATCATTTGGAACAATTTTGTTTAATCAACCCAATAATTTACTACTTTGATTTACAGTCACCAGAGCACTTTTTTAAACAGTTGTACTGTTTCCAAAATATAAGATGTGTGTTTTGTTCCTTTTCTTGTTAAATAAAATATGTAAAATAAATATAATAAAATATATTTTCACTGTCTACAAACATGAAAGTAATATTATTAGATTATTGTATTATTATTATTATTATTATTAATGAGGAAACATGATTCTAAATACAAATATAAAAGAAACTGATAAAGCTCAGCCTGTTTATTAAAATTCTGCACACTGGGCTTTGATGGCATACTTGAGTTTTAAGCATAAATGAGATACTGTAGCCACACAAAGGCATGACCTCGATTGGGTTGTAAACAAATTGGAGGAATACAATGAGATTAAATTTAAGGCCCTGCTGGAAAGTTTTTCAGACAATGTTGAATAATGATTTAAATAATTAAAATAATTGTACATTTAACATTATAAGTATATGTTTAGCCATCAAATCCAGCAGTCATTATGGACTCAATAAGGTACTTACTTGTTCTACTTCAGTGGTGCATTTCTTTTATATGTCGCTTAATTTTACCCAAATTAATTCTTCTCGATCCATGTCTCTCCTTTTAGCCTCAGCTGAATCCTGAATGAATTAGGCAGCACAGGAATAAAAATCACTCTTCATCAGAGTCAGGTGTTGGTCAGTGTTAACAAAAAGTTCTTTAGGGAGCTCTTTGTTAGTCCTTTGCCTGCTGAGTGTACTCTCCTTGAGGTGTTGTAGTTCATTTGTAGTTCATTTTATTAAAGTAATCCATTTGATAGCCATGCGTGCCCTGGGTCCATTTGCGTCAGGTTATGCTTTTGCAATCTGCTGTGCCTTCACTAGCAGAAATGAATTTGATCTCCGTCCGTTCCTACCTCCCCCCTCTTCCCTCCACGGCTATCTCCTCCTCCTCCTAGGTCAACCAGCTTGTCCGCCAGGACTGAGGGTGGAGCCTGCAACCAGGAGTGGTGCAAGAGAGAGGGAGCGCGAGGGAGAGAGAGAGAGAGAGAGAGAGAGAGAGGGGAAGGGACCTGTTTTGTCATCCATAGCATTGCACTGAAGTATGGTGTCCACTCAATCACTGTGAGTCACTGGCAGACACAACCATCAGTCTTTACGTGCAGAATTCCTTTATATAATATTACAAGTAAGCAGTCCAGAACAGATACCTGCTGATATTATAAAAGAGAATATTCAGCTGTTAATTATAGCTGTAAATCCAGCTTCCCAGACACCCTCAGCTCCATTTCCTTCCCAACCCAACAGTTGAGCCATGTCAAGAGTCCCCACATGTCAGCTGAGGCTCAGACGAACCGCCCACTCTCACATTTGCTCTGTCCGGTCTCACAACAATACTGCCGTCAAAACATAAATCATAGCAAACAACACAATGTGCTAGAGACATATTTGAATTCCCAAAGAGAAAAAACTAAGCGCTGAAATAGCCAAATGTTATAGTTTCCTAGAAAATGTTATTATGAATCGGCAGAACATCTGCCTGCAGAGATGGAGACGCACTTCCTTCGACAGTGTAGAAGAAATTGTAGAAATTCAAAGGAGCTTAATCACCTGAAGTCGCAAATGCTCTCAGGGCAAGGAGGCAAAACATATCGTGGGGCCCAAGATTTATATTAATATCCAACACTCTAAAAAACAGTCACTGACAAAGAAACACACAAAATGCACAACCACATGCACACATTTGATATAATAACATGCATATGAGCATGAATGTAAGCATCACTGCATACCGTCCAGCTTTGTTAATATTGTTTCAAAACACAACCAGAGAAAGTGAGCGCAGGAGAAAGAGACACAAACACACACTCCTGTGTTCAGGCGTGTTTGTGATACAGAGAGAGAGATGGTTAAGATGGAGAGGTACCACCCCGCCCTGTAGTGATTTATTGCTTGTGTAGTCATTGATACATGCTGCTTGTGTTTTTATTCAAAGCTCTCTCCTGTCCTCTTCCCTTCAATCTGATTTGTTGCTCAAGGACAAGGGCCGAAGTTCCACCCAACTAGGAATGCCGAATGGCTGACTCAGCTGAGCCAACCTCAGGTCCCACCTTTGGCACACAAACACAAGGCTGGAGCACAAAAACAAAACAAAGGTGCTTAAATGCCGTCTTTCAATTTGGATTTCAAGGCTCTCTCGCTCTCACACACTCTCACGCGTGTTGCTAAGAAAATTATGTTGGCCTGCACTCAAACACTCCAAGGTGTACACAATGAGCGAATTCACAAATTCATACTGGCAGCCACTTTAATGCGCAACTTTAAATGAAATAAATCGAGTCCAAAGTGGCAAAGTGATCTTCCCAAATTTATTTTGACACGTAAATTGCAGCTTCCCCTTACTTTCCCCCAAAAGCTGAAGTTAACAAGACAAACTATAGTGATCCAACATTTTGCAAATATTATATCGTTCCAATTCCGTGGCCCTTATGCAGACATACAAGCACACACACACACACACACACACACACACACACACACACACACACACACACACACACACACACACACACACAC